ATTATCTGGTCTGATGAAACTAAGTTTGAACTATTTGGCCTTAATGCCAAGCGTCATGTCTGGAGGAAACCAGGCACCGCTCATCACCTGGTCAATACCATCCCTACGGTGAAGCATGGTGGTGGCATCATCATGCTGTGGGGAGGTTTTTCAGTGGCAGGGCTGGGAGACTAGTCAGGATCGGGCTGGGAGACTAGTCAGGATCGAGGGAAATATGAAATTGAGCAAAGTACAGAGATCCTTGATGAAAACCTGTTTGAGAGCGCTCAGGACCTCAGACTGGGGCAAAGTTTCACCTTCCAACAGGACAACGACCCTATGCACACAGCCAATGCCCGTCCAACATTTCCTCATCTCCCAGTCCTTCTAATGTGACTATCCCCGATGCTCCTCCCTCTTTTTCCCCTGCCCCGCTACAAAGTTTCTCCCTGCAGGCGGTCATGGAGTCCGAGGTGCTAAAGGAGCTCCTTAAACGTCACACCAAAAATGATGGTTTAGACCCTTTCTTCTTTAAGGTTGCAGCCCCTATCATCGCCAAGCCTGTCTCTGACCTTTTTAACCTGTCTCCTCTCTGGGGAGGTTTCCAAGCTGGAAGGCAGCCACGGTGCGTCCTTTATTTAAAGGGGGCGATCAAGCTGATCCTAACTGTTATAGGCCAATTTCTATTTTGCCATGTTTATCAAAAGTGTTGGGAAAACTTGTCAATATTCAGCTGACTGGCTTTCTTGATGTCTATAGTATTCTCTCTGGTATGCAATCTGGTTTCCGCTCAGGTTATGGATGTCACTGCAACCTTAAAGGTCCTAAATGATGTCACCATTGCCCTTGATTCTTAGCAATGTTGTGCTGCTATTTTGATTGACTTGGCCAAAGCTTTTGATACGGTAGACCATTCCATCCTTGTCGGACGGCTAAGGAGTATTGGTGTCTCTGAGGGGTCTTTGGCCTGGTGTGCTAACTACCTCTCTCAAGGAGTGGAATGTAAAGACGCTCCCCATCCAACCTGACAGAGCTTGAGAGGATCTGCAGAGAAGAATGGGAGAAACTCCCCAAATACAGGTGTGCCTAGATTGTAACGTCATACCCAAGAAGACTCTAGGCTGTAATCGCTGCCAAAGCCGCTTCAACAAAGGGTCTGAATACTTATGTAAATGTGATGTTTCTGTTTATTTTTAATACATTTGCAAACATTTTGAAAACCTGTTTTTGCTTTGTCATTATGGGGTATTGTGTGTAGATTGAGGGGAAAAAACAATTTAATCCAATTTAGAGTAAGACTGTACAAAATGTGGAAAAAGTGAAGGGGTCTGAATAATTTCCGAATGCACTGTAACTCAAGAAATCTGTAATGAATTTAGACGTTTTTGCCAAAGAGATCTTTGTTGCGCAATTTTGGTGCAGTATTTTTCAATGAAAAAATGTGCATGAAAACATGTCGTCTCTCGTTGAATGACAACAGACTTTATTGAAGAATCCCGACTGTTAACGAATCACCGACGAAGGGGTGTAGACTTCAGCTCCGAACTTCTGCTTCCCATCAGGTTTTTTTGTGTGTGCCTGAATAGCCGGAAGAAAAACTCACGAAGTCCAAAACGAACAAAAACGTCACAAATTGTTGTCATAATATATGCACAAACTGCTACGGCTGGGAAGCATGCGGACGCTTTTAGTCACCTTGGTTACAGTGGGGAGAACAATTATTTGATACACTGCCGATTTTGCAGGTTTTCCTACTTACAAAGCATGTAGAGGTCTGTAATTTTTATCATAGGTACACTTCAACTGTGAGAGACGGAATCTAAAACAAAAATCCAGAAAATCACATTGTATGATTTTTAAGTAACTAATTAGCATTTTATTGCATGACATAAGTATTTGATACATCAGAAAAGCAGAACTTAATATTTGGTACAGAAACCTTTGTTTGCAATTACAGAGATCATACGTTTCCTGTAGGTCTTGACCAGGTTTGCACACACTGCAGCAGGGATTTTGGCCCACTCCTCCATACAGACCTTCTCCAGATCCTTCAGGTTTCGGGGCTGTCGCTGGGCAATACGGACTTTCAGCTCCCTCCAAAGATTTTCTATTGGGTTCAGGTCTGGAGACTGGCTAGGCCACTCCAGGACCTTGAGATGCTTCTTACGGAGCCACTCCTTAGTTGCCCTGGCTGTGTGTTTCGGGTCGTTATGCTGGAAGACCCAGCCACGACCCATCTTCAATGCTTTTACTGAGGGAAGGAGGTTGTTGGCCAAGATCTCACGATACATGGCCCCATCCATCCTCCCCTCAATACGGTGCAGTCGTCCTGTCCCCTTTGCAGAAAAGCATCCCCAAAGAATGATGTTTCCACCTCCATGCTTCACGGTTGGGATGGTGTTCTTGGGGTTGTACTCATCCTTCTTCTTCCTCCAAACACGGCGAGTGTTTAGACCTAAAAGCTCTATTTTTGTCTCATCAGACCACATGACCTTCTCCCATTCCTCTTCTGGATCATCCAGATGGTCATTGGCAAACTTCAGATGGGCCTGGACATGCGCTGGCTTGAGCAGGGGGACCTTGTGTGCGCTGCAGGATTTTAATCCATGACGGCGTAATGTGTTACTAATGGTTTTCTTTGAGACTGTGGTCCCAGCTCTCTTCAGGTCATTGACCAGGTCCTGCCGTGTAGTTCTGGGCTGATCCCTCACCTTCCTCATGATCATTGATGCCCCATGAGGTGAGATCTTGCATGGAGCCCCAGACCGAGGGTGATTGACCGTCATCTTGAACTTCTTCCATTTTCTAATAATTGCGCCAACAGTTGTTGCCTTCTCACCAAGCTGCTTACTTATTGTCCTGTAGTCCATCCCAGCCTTGTGCAGGTCTACAATTTTATCCCTGATGTCCTTACACAGCTCTCTGGTCTTGGCCATTGTGGAGAGGTTGGAGTCTGTTTGATTGAGTGCGTGGACAGTTGTCTTTTATACAGGTAACGAGTTCAAACAGGTGCAGTTAATACAGGTAATGAGTGGAGAACAGGAGGGCTTCTTAAAGAAAAACTAACAGGTCTGTGAGAGCTGGAATTCTTAGTGGTTGGTAGGTGATCAAATACTTATGTCATGCAATACAATGCAAATTAATTACTTAAAAATCATACAATGTGATTTTCTGGATTTTTGTTGAAGTGTGCCTATGATAAAAAATTACAGACCTCTACATGCTTTGTAAGTAGGAAAACCTGCAAAATCGGCAGTGTATAAAATACTTGTTCTCCCCACTGTAGGTTAGTACTTTAGAACAAAGGGCCAGAGTATGGCACTGCACTGCAGTCAGTGCACACGGACTGGGTACCATTCACCTGTCAGTTGACATGTTTACAGCTGAACTTTATTAACTGGATGCATGTGTTGTGTAAGTTCCTCTAAACACAGAATACACCATACAGATCCTGCTGGCATGTAGTCTGTCTGTGCTGTTGGAGTGTGTGGGTAAAGCTGCTGAGATAGTGTGGTGGTTGGTTGGTCTGTCCAAGGAAGTTCTTGAAAGACCAGGGCATTCTCAATTCTTACCGACTCAATTGCATCAGGTCTAGCAAGTCTGTTAGTGCAATAGCATTTCAACTCCTTTTTACTCATTGTCAATCATTGGCATGTTCTCCCCGCAAGCCAGCTTATATCCACTATTAGTCTGGTGAATGTGCGCATGTTTTACTGTAACTAGTGACTAATAGACTCTTGATACGCCTGCTGGCTGTTGCCCTTGCTCCCTCCACTCCTGGCAAGCGGTTCCTAAATTGTGCCTGTGTGTCCTCATCTAATCCTTCTGAACACACTGGGCACTGTCACCTCTCATGTGTCCCTGTTCCTAAGTAGTGTTGTCTGTCTGTCTGCCATCGCGTGTCTACAGTCTCACCTGCTGTTGCCAGGGTAGCTCGCAACCAACCTGATGATCCAAGATGGGATTTAACCGCCAGCTAGCTTGGAGCTGGTCCAGGCCTACCGTAAAGATCTCAGAGACACAGCTCTCAGAATCACACACAAAGTCTATGCAGCAAGTTCTACTTCAGCAAGTTGTATTTCTTCAGGTCAATGTAGTAGTGCATAAGCTCACAGACACACCAGTTGGTGTGTCCCTTTTGACCAGAAGGGTGTTTTTCTAGAGCAGATCTGCCGAAGAGAGGAGAGAAAGACATGCTGATGGTGAAGTGACGTGCATAGCTTCCTATGGCCTCATGACACAGGCGTCTGACCGCATGTTTCACATTTGACTTGCCTCCTCTCAGATGTAAGCTATTTTTACATCACTGTCTGACACTATTACTAACTATGGGTCTGACATGCCATTGATATGAAGGAGTCGACTCAGATCTTCACAATGATAGTCAGCCAAAGGGATTCCTTATTCTGTTACTGAGTCATTCAAGTTGGCTTTCACAGCTGTGCGATGTAGAATTATTACTCGGGTAGAACCCAGCAGAGAACACTAAAAGCATCTCCGTTAGTCTTCTCTAAATAATGAATACCGGACGTGTTGTCGTCTTCACAACAACAAAATATGTTGAGTAACGTCCTGGACGAGCTAGTTTGGGATGTTTTTAAGGCCAATTTTTTTTCTAGTGTTCTGTACTGTATTGTCAGGCTGGCATAGCCTTACGGTTTCAGAGAGCATATTGAAGTGTGTGTGCTGTAGGTATCTGTGTGCTCCAGCTTCACTGTAGTAGTTTCATGTCCCTATGCATTTCTCTAGTTGGGTAGCTACGGTCTTCCCTGCTGACTGATTCCCTGGGGAAAGTCCTCACACTCCCGCCCTTACAATAAAGATGTGTCATGCAGTCTGTCATCCCTAATGGCTGTAGTGCACTGTGAGTAGTCTAGGTCAGAGTTAGGACTGTACTGTGCAACAACCTAAGGAATGAACTCATTTGTTACCTTTCAGAGAACTCTCTCCTTTAGTCTTCTAACTTCTCTGTGCTGTGGTTGTTTGTTAGATAATGACCAACCACACATGCTTTGTTACAGGACGAATACACCAAGCCATGGTCACGTCGTTGAATGAAGACAACGAGAGCGTCACCGTGGAGTGGATAGAAAATGGAGACACCAAAGGGAAAGAGGTAAACAAGCCTAGCTAGTAGCTTAGCGCGACAGCCGGTGTCCGCTCAGCTCTTAGGCATTGAGCCCTATGAATAATGCATCTGAAGACATTCTAGAGTTTTGGAGATTACACAATCCTTCTGCATGTTCTACAGTTCCGCCAGACATCACTTTCTGCCCTGAATTTACATGAGTTTAGAGAGCCTTACAGCAGTCATATTTCCTGAGCTTTGCTGTTGAATACATATGTTGTCCTACTGCTCTCTCTGCTCCTCTGAGCTACACTGATATACCTCTCTGCTCTCCATACACTAACATATAAGGCATATATTAACTGAGTATATTTGCACCTCATCTCTTCTGCATATTGATGTGTAGAGTATATTGTGTTACATCTCCTGTTGAATATTGACTTGAAAAGTATGTCTCGAAGGACCATTTAAAAAGGGCACCAATTGGTTGTGGACTCCGCAAGCAGTGCTGGTTAAAATATAGATACAATGGCCCTGGCACCTCTGTTAGGTGTGGTAATGATGACCAGTAGGAGATGGATGTACAGTCAACACGTTTATTGCCACACCACACACACACACACAAGAAGGGCAAAGAGAAGGGACTAGTGGAAGTGTTGAGGAGCAACTGTATGGGTTAGCTACAATTACAGTAACACACTCTTCTCTCTGTCCAGATTGACTTGGAGAGTATATTTGCACTAAACCCAGACGTGGCCCCAGAAGAGGAGATCGCCCACAGCCCAGAGACCCCGCCCCCACCAACACCCACCTCTGTGAAGGTCAACAAGATCACCAAGGTGAGCGCTGGGGTGCATTCATTTGTCGGATTCCGTTTCAAAACATTTTGCAACCGAAACCCTTTACCGTTTACTCTAGGAACCAAATGGAAGCTAACAGAACCAACGGATCAAAATGGGGATGGACCAACCTGAATTTGTCCAATAGAAACTGTATTTTCTGTTGCAAAACGTTTTCCGTTGCAAAACTTTTTGCAACAGACAACTTTTTTGGGCGGAATCCGACTAATGAATACGCCCCTGTTATTTTGTTTTATGTTATGGACTGCTAGTATAACCACCGCAGGGTGAAGTCTGCTTGTGCAGTGCATAGATATAGAACCTGATATAATGCCTATGGTGCAGTGTGTGGCCTCAGAGGCCCACTGCTGGAGTGGCAGAAAAATCACTGAACATATGTGAACAAAGGAAGCTCCAGTAATCTGATTCTCAGTATTTGTCAATTATTTTAAACCTTATTTTGCAGTCATTGGAGTGAGAAATGTTGTACTCTTCAGGGTTGTGTTGTTGTAGTGAGTTGCTGGGTAAAATCTCTTGTGAACCATGATTACTGTTTAATCCTCATGTACTTCAATTATTTTTGTCAATGCATTTATCTTACCTCCATCTTTTGTAGAACCGGCGAACAATAGCGGCCACTAAGAATGACACTCCGTCCAGGGATAACAGAGGTGTGTGTGTGTATACTCATTTTTGATCATTGACAGTTCTTGGGTACCATGTCGCTTAATTCACTTGAAACAGGCCCTCTTGATAACTCTCTGACCCCTCGTGTTGTGGGTTCCACAGTGGTGTCGACCCGGGCCAGACCAGCTCCACCCCAGCAGCCAGAGCCTTCTCCCCCTCCTCCCGTCCAGCAGCCAGCCCAGCCCACTCAGGCCCAGACAGCCCAGCAGTTAGCCAACGGTAGGAACATCACAGCTATATCCATCTATGTAGGAGTTACATTTTGACTTATTTACTCATTTGGAAATCTGAATGTTCTGTCATTTTCACCCTTCTAAACAAGCCCCAGGAATATTATTTGTTACTATAAAATTTGACCAATAGACTTGATGTTCCTGATTTTCTATGTTTTGTCGATCACATGTGTATCACAGAAGCGTCATTGCATCAGCTAAGCAGAAAGGAGTTTGGACAGCTTTGTATGTATCAACTCTCCCAACCACCCGAATGCTTAATGTTATCTTAGAGCCCTGAGGCTTTCCTCTGGAGAACCTCTAGTTTGGGATTATTACTCGCCTAAAAGGCTTCCGCTATATTCAAAGCAGTGATGGGAAAGTACAAACGCAATCCAGCCAGAAGACAGGCTTTCTGGATTTACAGAAGGAAAAAACTGATCATAGCACTGCTGTGCTGTCAGCCTGCGTGTATTCCACCAATGGAATCAGACAGAGAGACATCCTCGTAGCGCTCTCTCTATTTCTCTCTTCCTTCCTGCCGGCTGGCTCTGGTTCTGACCTGGCCCTGCTCCCCCAGATTGCTGCAGATTATTAATCCCTGCTCTCTGCTTTGAATGACGAGCCTGCAGGCCTTCAGATGGGGCTGTATGCTGGAGGAAGGGTTACTATGGTGCTCAGCTGGATATCTTGGGGTCTGGTGGAATCAGAAATGGGCTACTGACACTCACTTTATACTCTCCTCTCTTTTATAATAGGATATGGGTTTTCAAATTATGAATTGGGTTTCTAAATGGTACTAATCGGCTTCTATTGCGGTATTGGTTATTTCTGTGAGTTAACTGTAATGTGATGCGGGATTTATGTAACTTTTGAGGAACCTAGACTGAGAAGTCCCCTATGTACTCATATCTCTGCTTTCCCAGTCATCATTTGACTGTTGTTGGATCAGTGGTTGATCAGTCAAGAATAGCCCTGTAGTAGTGTATTGTAATAGTAGTGTATTGTAATAGTAGGGTAATAGTCGCATTAGTATTGTAATAGTAGTGTAATAGGAATAGAAGGGTTAGCAGGGTCAGACATAGCCCTTTTGAGATGCAGAGTGGATGTAGCTGGAGGCAATGTGTGCCAGCTGCTGTAGCCTGCCCTCTGTGCTGCTGTAGCCTGCCCTCGGCCTGTATAAAGTTGCTGTCCCCCTGGATGCAACTAGGCCCAGTCCCCAGCCAGCCACCACTCTGTCTGAACGACCCTATAGTAGAGGAGAAAACACACCAGCAGAAAGGTTGAGTGGGTATGTTCTGTGAAAGGCAGCGTTTGTGTCTTTTCCTGTTCCTTTGCCGGGGTTTCTTGTTACTCTGGCAGCGAGGAGGAAGTCCAACTGTGTGAAGGAAGTGGAGAAACTGCAGGAGAAGAGAGAGAGACGACGGATACAGCAACAGGAGCTGAGGGAGAAGAAGGCACAGGTACATTGGCTCCTCTTCCTTCCATCCTCTGCCCCCCCCCCCTTCTCTAATATCTGGGTTTTTTAAATGAGGATAAAATAAGATAATTGACTCACATATTTAACCTCACTATAGCCATGTTAGTCATTGAACACATTTTCTTTAGTGATAAGAACTTGCTAAAGGAATTCAAGTATAAATTGAACAGTGACCTAACATAACCGTTCTCAGGAGGTGGACACCACCGTCCCTAACTATGAGATCCTGTATATGATCAGAGACTTCCGTGCCAGTCTAGACTACCGGCCGCTGTCCACCACAGATCTGGTGAGTACAGACAACACCCTGCTCTCTCTCCCTCTGTCCCAATACAGGATAACCCACAACGGCCTGATCAATATGTGTGTTTTTATTTTGTCAGATTGAAGAGCACAGAATATGTGTTTGTGTGAGGAAACGTCCACTCAACAAGAAAGGTAAGGAGGGCATCCAACAGAGCCTTAAATCATAATGAGGTTTACCTACTATGAGCTTTTGGACGGTCATAATCAGTCATGTTCAGGTATTTTCTTATGGCCTGCGATCAGGGAAACTACACTAAAAAGTAAGACCAAAAGTATGTGGACACCTGCTTGTCTGAACACCTGAACATCTCATTCCAAAATCATGGGCACTCATATGGAGTTGGTCCCACCTTTGTTGCTATAACAGCCTCCACTCTTCTGGGAAGGCTTTCCACTAGATGTTGGAACATTGCTGCGGGGACTTGCTTTCCATTCAGCTACAATAGCATCGGGCACTGATGTTGGGCGATTAGGCCTGGCTCGCAGTCAGCGTTCCAAATCATCCCATAGGTGTTCGATGGGGTTGAGGTCAGGGCTCTGTGCAGGCCAGTCAAGTTCTTCCACACCAATCTCGACAAACCATTTCTGTATGGACCTCGCCTTTGTGCACGGGGGCCTCACCCAAACTGTTGCCACAAAGTTGGAAGCGCAGAGTCATCTAGAATGTAATTGTATGGTGTAGCGTTAAGAAAAATTTATAGGGCATGGAATTAAAAAGGTATTGTCGGACATTATTCATTCTAATCAGACAGGTTTTTTACATGGATGATACGTTGGCGATAATATAAGGCAAGTACTGGAAACAATAGAACACTATGAAAAATCTGGGAAACCAGGCCTGCTATTCATAGCTGACTTTGAAAAGGCTTTTGATAAAGTATGACTGGAGTTTATATATAAATGCCTGGAGCATTTCAATTTAGGAGAATCTCTTATAAAATGGGTTAAAATCATGTATAGTAACCCTAGGTGTAAAAAATGGCTATTTATCAGAATGTTTTAAACTGTCAAGAGGAGTAAAACAAGGTTGTCCACTATCGGCATATCTATTTATTATGGCCATCAAAATGTTAGCTATTAAAATCAGATCCAACAATAATATCAAGGGATTAGAAATCCAGGGCTTAAAAACAAAGGTGTCATTGTACACTGATGATTCATGTTTTCTTTTAAATCCACAACTTGAATCCCTCCACAGCCTCATAGAGGATCTAGATACATTTTCTAACCTCTCTAGATTACAACCAAATTATGATAAATGTACTACATTACGTATTTGATCACTAAAAAATAATATTTTTACATTACCGTGTAGTTTACCAATAAAATGGTCTGATGGTGATGTGGATATACTCGGAATACATATCCCAAAATAAATAAATGATCTCACTCCAATACATTTTTATAGAAAGTTAGCAAAAATAGATAAGATCTTGCTACCATAGAAAGGTAAATACCTGTCTATTTGTGGAAAAATCACCCTGATTAACTCTTTAGTATTATCCCAGTTTACCTATTTGCTTATGGTCTTGCCTACGCCTAGCGAACAGTTTTTGAAATTATATGAGAAAAAAATATTCAATTTTATTTGGAACGGCAAGCCAGACAAAATTAAACGGGCCTATTTATATAATGAATATGAATTCGGAGGACAGAAATTATTAAATATTAAAGCATTAGACCTATCATTAAAAGCTTCAGTTATACAAAAGTTATAATTCAATCCGAACTGGTTCTCTAGCAAATTAGTAAGATTGTCTCACCCCATGTTCAAGAATGGCCTTTATTCAGATTCCAACCTCTCACTTTCAGTTATTTGAAAAGGAAATCATCTCCCAAATATCACTATTTCTAAAACAAGCCATAGAAAGTTGGTTGCAATTTCAATTTAATCCTCCAGAAACGACAGAACAAATAATGCAACAAATATTGTGGTTAAACTCAAATAATACTAATTGATAAAAAAAAAGTTTTTAAAAGGTATAATCTTCGTAAATGATATCATAGGTAGAACTGGTGGAGTTATGTCGCACATGCAGCTAACAAAAACATATGGAAATGTCTGCTCTATTGTAAATTACAACCAAATAATTGTAGCGTTACCGCAAAAATGGAAGAGGAAAGTGGAAGGGGGAAAAAGTAAGGGACTTGTCTGTTGGCCCTGCATTAAAGACCATAATTGGTTAAAGAAAATTGTGATAAATAAAAAAGTATACCAGTTTCATTTAAGGACCAAAGGATTGACAGCCGTCCCATATAGATTGCAAAATAGTTGGGAAGAGATTTTTGACATACCGATTCCATGGAAAATGGTTTATGAACTGATACACAAAACGACGCCGGATTCAAAACTTAGAATTTTTCAATTTAAATTATTAGACAAAATTCTTGCAACCAATGTTATTTATGTGGGGGATACAATCTTCCCAGCTCTGCGAAGAGACAATCATTAGATAATTTGTTTTGGTACTGTCCATTTGTAGCTTGTTTTTGGTCACAGGTCCAGGAATGGCTGAAGGATTGCAATATTTACCTGGAGCTAACCCTGCAGATAGCACTACTGGGAGATCTGAAAAGTCAGTCAATCGATCAATAATATAATAATAATACTTTTAGCAAAAATGTTTATTTTCAATTTACAATCTGTAGAAACAATCAGAATAGAAGGGTTCAGAACTTTTGTGAAACAGTACAGTTGAGAAATATATGGCAAGTATAAATCCAATATGGATGGTGTTAAGAGATAGATGGGAGGGGTTGAATGGAGCTGAAGGTTGGGACTAATAACAACTAATAACAACAATATAATGAATGTAAAACATACTGTGTCCATAATAAGTATATAGGTTGAGAACTTTTGTGAAAGAGCACAGTTTTGGGGATATGGCATGTAGAGGGAAACCGGACGGACATCATGAAAATGATCAGAGAGGTTGAGGGTAGAGGAAGTTCAGGAGTAAAAACAAACAAAATATAATTATTGTAAAATTGACTGTGTCCATAAAATGTACAGTGGGGAGAACAAGTATTTGATACACTGCCGATTTTGCAGGTTTTCCTACTTACGAAGCATGTAGAGGTCTGTAATTTTTATCATAGGTACACTTCAACTGTGAGAGACGGAATCTAAAACAAAAATCCAGAAAATCACATTGTATGGTTTTTAAGTAATTAATTTGCATTTTATTGCATGACATAAGTATTTGATACATCAGAAAAGCAGAACTTAATATTTGGTACAGAAACCTTTGTTTGCAATTACAGAGATCATACGTTTCCTGTAGGTCTTGACCAGGTTTGCACACACTGCAGCAGGGATTTTGGCCCACTCCTCCATACAGACCTTCTCCAGATCCTTCAGGTTTCGGGGCTGTCGCTGGGCAATACGGACTTTAAGCTCCCTCCAAAGATTTTCTATTGGGTTCAGGTCTGGAGACTGGCTAGGCCACTCCAGGACCTTGAGATGCTTCTTACGGAGCCACTCCTTAGTTGCCCTGGCTGTGTGTTTCGGGTCGTTGTCATGCTGGAAGACCCAGCCACGACCCATCTTCAATGCTCTTACTGAGGGAAGGAGGTTGTTGGCCAAGATCTTGCGATACATGGCCCCATCCATCCTCCCCTCAATACGGTGCAGTCGTCCTGTCCCCTTTGCAGAAAAGCATCCCCAAAGAATGTTTCCACCTCCATGCTTCACGGTTGGGATGGTTTTCTTGGGGTTGTACTCATCCTTCTTCTTCCTCCAAACACGGCGAGTGGAGTTTAGACCAAAAAGCTCTATTTTTGTCTCATCAGACCACATGACCTTCTCCCATTCCTCCTCTGGATCATCCAGATGGTCATTGGCAAACTTCAGACGGGCCTGGACGTGCGCTGGCTTGAGCAGGGGGACCTTGCGTGCGCTGCAGGATTTTAATCCATGACGGCGTAGTGTGTTACTAATGGTTTTCTTTGAGACTGTGGTCCCAGCTCTCTTCAGGTCATTGACCAGGTCCTGCCGTGTAGTTCTGGGCTGATCCCTCACCTTCCTCATGATCATTGATGCCCCACGAGGTTAGATTTTGCATGGAGTCCCAAACCAAGGGTGATTGACCGTCATCTTGAACTTCTTCCATTTTCTAATAATTGCGGCAACAGTTGTTGCCTTCTCACCAAGCTGCTTGCCTATTGTCCTGTAGCCCATCCCAGCCTTGTGCAGGTCTACAATTTTATCCCTGATGTCCTTACACAGCTCTCTTGTCTTGGCCATTGTGGAGAGGTGGGAGTCTGTTTGAGTGTGTGGACAGGTGTCTTTTATACAGGTAACGAGTTCAAACAGGTGCAGTTAATATAGGTAATGAGTGGAGAACAGGAGGGCTTCTTAAAGAAAAACTAACAGGTCTGTGAGAGCCGGAATTGTTACTGGTTGATAGGTGATCAAATACTTATGTCATGCAATAAAATGCAAATGAATTACTTTAAAATCATACAATGTGATTTTCTGGATTTTTGTTTTAGATTCCGTCTCTCACAGTTGAAGTGTACCTATGATAAAAATTACAGACCTCTACATGCTTTGTAAGTAGGAAAACCTGCAAAATCGGCAGTGTATCAAATACTTGTTCTTCCCACTGTATATAGTATGTATAAGCTGAAAGTAGAGGCCTAAGCGTTGTTGTTCACTAGTTTACTCCAATTAGGGGAGGGGTGGTGGGGTTGGAAAGTAATAAAGGAAAATAATTTTTTTTAAAGGATATGTATGTATGTGTATGTGTATATACAGCTGTGGAAAAAATTAAGAGACCACTGCACATTTTTCTTAAATCAGCATCTCTACATGTATGACAGCCATTCCATTCCAGTGTCTGTTGAATTCCAACACAGGCACACCTCATTCTACTGAATTAGGTAATCACCTGAACCAAATCTTATTTAACAAGGAAAAGTATAAATACCACTGCTGTGGTCATCACTATCCTCTTGCAATAGGACCAGCTGGATGGCAAAAATAGTGCTAATAGTACCTCAAAAGTAATATTAATCAAAAAATAACTATTGACCATGCCAAAAGAGTTGAAAAGGAAAGTTTTGAGTGAGGAAAAGAAGGGTTCAATTCTGGCTTTACTGGCAGAGGGATACAGTGAGCGTCAGGTTGCTTCCATCCTTAAAATTTCAAAGATGGCGGTTCATAAGAACAAGGTCAAGCAGCAAACATTGGGGACAACAAAGCTACAGACCGGCAGAGGGCGAAAACGACTCTCTACTGACCGGGATGACCGCTAACTCATTCGAATGTCACTCAACAACCGTAGGATGACATCAAGTGACCTACAAAAAGAATGGCAAACGGCAGCTGGGGTGAAGTGCACGGCGAGGACGGTTCGAAACAGGCTCCTAGGGGCAGGGCTGAAGTCATGCAAAGCTAGAAAAAAGCCCTTAATCAATGAGAAGCAAAGAAGAGCCAGGCTGAGGTTTGCAAAAGACCATAAGGATTGGACCGTAGAGGACTGGAGTAAGGTCATCTTCTCTGATGAGTCCAATTTTCAGCTTTGCCCAACACCTGGTCGTCTAATGGTTAGACGGAGACCTGGAGAGGCCTACAAGCCACAGTGTCTCACACCCACTGTGAAATTTGGTGGAGGATCGGTGATGATCTGGGGATGCTTCAGCAAGGCTGGAATCGGGTCATTGTGAAGGACGCATGAATCAAGCCACGTACAAGGTTGTCCTGGAAGAAAATGTGCTTCCTTTTGCTCTGACATTGTTCCCCAACTCTGAGGATTGGTTTTTCCAGCAGGACAATGCGCCATGCCACACAGCCAGGTCAATCAAGGTGTGGATGGAGGACCACCAGATCAAGACCCTGTCATGGCCAGCCCAATCTCCAGACCTGAACCCCATTGAAAACTTCTGGAATGTGATCAAGAGGAAGATGGATAGTCACAAGCCATCAAACAAAGCTGAGCTGCTTGAATTTTTGGCATAAAGTCACCCAACATCAATGTGAAATACTGGTGGAGAGCATGCCAAGACGCATGTAAGCTGTGATTGAAAATCAGGGCTATTCCACCAAATATTGATTTCTGAACTCTTCCTAAGTTAAAACATTAGTATTGTGTTGTTAAAAAAATGAACATGAACGTATTTTCTTTGCATTATTCGAGGTCTGACAACACTGCATCTTTTTTGTCATTTTCTGCAAATAAATGCTCTAAATGACCATATTTTTATTTGGAATTTGGGAGAAATGTTGTCAGTAGTTTATAGAATAAAACAAAAATGTAATTTTTACCCAAACACATACCTATAAATAGTAAAACCAGAGAAACTGATAATTTTGCAGTGGTCTCTTAATTTTTTCCACAGCTGTATATATATTGGCAAAAAAAACATATGGGGGATTGGAAGTGATGCAGACAATTACATTGATGGAAGTTTCAATCTATCTGCAATAATAAAGCTGATCTACCCCTAAAAAACAAAACTAAAAAACAGCACTTACAGTTGACCGGGGCAGCTCTAGCAGGGCAGAAATTTGACGAACTGACTTGTTGGAAAGTTGGCATCCTATGACGGTGCCACGTTGAAAGTCACTGAGCCCTTCAGTAAGACCAATGTTTGTCTATGGAGATTGCATGGCTGTGTGCTCAATTTTATACACCTGTCAGCAACGGGTGTGGCTGAAATAGCTGAATCCACTAATTTGAAGGGGTGTCCACATACCTTTGTGTGTGTGTGTATATATAGTGTATCTTCTCTGTATTCTTTCATTAACATGGCTGTGTGTGTGTGTACCAGAGTTGACTATAAGGGACCTGGATGTGATCACAATCCCCAGTAAGGATGTGGTGATGGTCCATGAGCCCAAGCAGAAGGTGGACCTGACACGCTACCTGGAGAACCAGACCTTCCGCTTCGACTACGCCTTCGATGACAGCACCACTAACGAAATGGTTTACAGGTCAGACAGAGAGCAGGCGGTTGTTGCAGTAAAACAACTGTTTTGTTTGACATGTCAGATGTATGTTTTTACTGGAATTCAGTCCAGGAGGAACGCTTTCATTGGATTAGTGTGTGTGGAATGCATTTCGATGGCGTGTGTTTGTTAGGGTGTTGTGATGGAATGTGTGCGCAAGTATGTGTTTTGCTAGTGTGTGTGTACGCACACGCTGATGAGTGGATATGTGTTTCCCCTACAGGTTTACTGCCAGGCCCCTGGTGGAGACCATCTTTGAGAGGGGCATGGCCACGTGCTTCGCCTATGGACAGACTGGTAGTGGCAAAACACATGTAAGTCACACACACAGCAGCCTCCTCATCCTCTTCTGCTGATGCATGTCAGTTATTTCAATACTAACTTAACAATAACATTACATCAGCGACATCGAAGTTCAATGTGTACAAGCATTGTTGCATTTCCATTTCTATGTATGTTTCACCCACAAGCAGAACTGGGAATATTGCTGTCTTTGGTTTCAGACTATGGGTGGAGATTTTTCTGGAAAGAACCAGGATTGTTCTAAAGGAATTTATGCGTTAGCTGGTAAGTGATTCTAAATGGATTCTTAGTATTGTTGTTGGTGCTGGAATGCTCAGATCCTATTACAATTGTAAAACTCTTGCTCTTTGTCTCTTTCCCCTTTGTCCTCATGCAGCTCGGGATGTGTTTGTCATGTTGAAGAAACCCTGCTACAAGAAGTTAGAGCTTCAGGTGTACGCAACCTTCTTTGAAATCTACAGTGGAAAGGCAAGTGATTAATGACTTGTTTATACAGCATCAACTTGTGGTTTTGGTTCGTCCGCAGCCACGCACCTCCTCCAGGACTGCCTCGTAGAAGAGACGCAAGAGATTGAACTTCACTGAGTTAGCCCCGTCAGTTTGCACTATATAGATCGTTTTTCTCTAATGTGATAAAATCAACATTATCAGCCACTTTTCAATGCAACAAACCAAATCAAATCTAACTTTGCAAGATTGAGTCTGTGATTTTGTTTTTGCCAGAGGGCATCGGAGTAGAATTCTATTGACGGGTAGCCCACTAGCGGTCTTTCAATCACCCGCCATTGGATGCGCTTTTCAGATCAGTGCGCATTTGTTGATATTCTTTGCTAGTTAGCGAGTTATTATCCCAGTTACAGGTAAGAATTGGCCAGCAATGGGGAGTTACTGCTTCCTACAAGAGCACAAACCGTGTAGGCTTCTTTTCAAGCCGTCTTTGAAAAGCGAGTCAGGTAAAAAGCTTATGTCTTTAATTAAAGGGGCCGTGTTGTATTTTGAGACAGGCTTGAATATGCAAATAACCCAAATGGGCAGAGTGTAGCCTACATTGTATTATTCTCTGTATAGTAATAATAATTTATTTTATTTTGTAATGTGGTTTATTGCATCATACAATACATTACAATTCCATTTACAATTACTGTACTTAGTTGGTCCAAGATTTTACAAAGTAAAAAATCATTAATTAATGACAAGCCTTTCATAATGTAAAAACATTTTTAAAAGTCTCATGGAATGTAGACCTGTCATAGAAATAAAAAGCTATTTCCATGTGAAAATGTTAAAGTATTTAGTCCATTGGTTTCATTGGTAGGCCACTCTGATAGGCTTACATTATGCTCAAATAGCCACAATAGCCTATTGGCTACTGTCTAAAAGGGTACAGCCTCAGTGTTCACTGTAAATGCGTGCCGGAAGTTGCACAGAATTCTCACAACGTTCAAGTTTCTGCTCACAAGATCTGAATTTTGGTCAGTGCCCCCAAAACAGTGGAGGGAACATTGGTTGTAGGTTTTAACCCGGACTATAAGGGGAAGCTGTGTATATTGCTCCAGTGGGTGATTATGTTGACAGACTGTGGTTTTAAGTTGACCGTGTGCGGTTGTGTTGCGGTCCTATATGTGTTGGACCTGACTGTGTTTGACCTGACTGCGTGTGTGGTTGTATAGGTATTTGACCTGATGGTTGTGTTAAGTGTGTGGTTGTGTTATGCATGTCTTATAGGTGTTTGACCTGCTGAATGGTAAGGCTAAGCTCCGGGTGCTGGAAGATGGGAAGCAGCAGGTGCAGGTGGTGGGGCTGCATGAGAGAGATGTCAAATGCACAGAGAATGTCCTCAAACTCATAGAAGTGGGCAACAGCTGCAGGTAAGGAAACAGAGTGGAAGGTATTTGTAGCCACATCCCACAGTTGCCTTAAGTAATGACATAAACATTGATCTTTAAAACGTTATCGTGCATTACATTTAAATGTTCTCCTTCCTGCTTTCTTTCTTTCTCCCTCTCTGTCCCTCTGTCCCTCCCTCTCTCAGAACGTCAGGTCAGACCTCGGCCAACGCCCACTCGTCCCGTAGCCACGCCGTGTTCCAGATCATTCTGAGGAGGAAGGGGAAGATGCATGGCAAGTTCTCCCTGATCGACCTGGCGGGGAACGAAAGGGGGGCCGACACGTCCAGCGCTGACCGCCAGACACGCCTGGAGGGAGCTGAGATCAACAAGAGCCTTCTGGCACTAAAGGTCAGCGGGGAGGCAGAGGGCAGCTGCAGAGCATTCTGACAGGGACACTCGGTAGAAAGTCAGCAGATGTTTAGTCAGATAGTTCAAGTAAAAGTTAATTAATCTTAGAGGCATTTACAGGATTGGACATGAATACAGCTCTGATATTGTGCTGCCTGAGATGCATTTTCCTTCAGTTGAACAGAACTAGCAGTCCTAGTTGGACATAACTTAATCATATAGAAATGGTCAACTGTATTTTTCTTGTCCCCTCTCTCTCAGAATGTATATCAGTCAGCCAGTTAGGCTTTGCAGCAGGCAGAGAAACTGTAGCTCATCATATCTCTCTTTAACTCTACCAGGAGTGCATCAGGGCGCTGGGGCGGAACAAACCTCACACTCCGTTCAGGGCCAGCAAGCTCACACAGGTCCTTCGAGACTCCTTCATAGGGGAGAACTCCCGCACATGCATGGTGAGTTCATCATTAGTCACTGCTAGTGAGATTGATGAGTTCACTCTCCTCACTGGCATTGGGTTCAGTCATCTCTGATTTGATTAAACATGACTATTTTTAAGACACCTAGCTCATGGTCTAGGCTAGTGGTCAACAACCGGTCGATCTCTAAGGCATTCCTAGTTGATCGCCAAACATTTCTCTAAAAAAAACAACGATAAAGCCTTGCGTTTCTATTTTTATTGATTGGTCTCTCGTATGTGCACCTGATTCAGCTGCCCTGCACGCCGGGTAGGCGAAGTGTTCCCATTTTGAACCATTTCATGTGTCTGAAGGTACAAACTCTGCCTTCCCGGCGGGCCCAGAGAGCAAATCAAGCGCACTATAGGCCTACCGCTGGCCAATCGGATGGCTCAGATTACCATGTCTGCAGTAACGTAGCAGGCGTAAAAGAAAGCTAAAGCAAAGTTGAGACTGAGAAAGCAAAATTGAGACTGAGATTAAAAACGTTTAAAACCATGAATAGTGAGAGACTGTCAACGAATACAGCAATGAGCTGCTGTTTTTATGAGTGAGTTCATGTTTAAGTTCTTACTCAGCACTGTCAACACTTTTTATTCAACACTTTCATAAGCCATAAAATGCGTGTTTTTCCTACTTCCACTTGTGCTACAACTAGCACTGCAGCTGTAATGAATGAGTAGGAAAGTGTATCGATAGGCTTGAATTTGTGCATGAGGCAGAAATAATTCAGTGCGACTCGAGTTTCGCTATCAGCTGGAAGACTGTGTCCCTTTTTGGTCAGTGTCAGCGGGGGAGAGCGGAGGGATTTTGAGAGGCGGACCATCAGTCTGCTGCTCTCTCCCTCCGCTGAGACTGACCATCAGATGCAGGCACCATCAGCCCAGTAAAATACAAATAAAAAGCAAATGATTTAAATGTATGCTCACTCAGCTGCGCCTCACAAGTAATACAACAACTGATCTATTACCGGTGTGATCATGAAGCCTACCTCAAATGTTTTTATATAATTTTTATAGTATGATCCGAACAGCAATGCATTGGCAGGGCAATTCAAGCAAAGCCAATATGCAGTGATAATGTATTGGGCCTATAGCCTACTACACAAACCTGATTGCTACAGAACTGTTTTTAATAGGTTAATGTTGCATAGGCTTACGTTTTTTAAAGTGATCTTGACTCAGAAAGGTTGATGACCACAGGTCTAAGCCTATACTGACCCTGTAGGGGACCCTGTAGCTTCTCTTCACTTTAAAAGTAAACACACGTTCTGCAAAGGACAGGCCACCTTACTTGGTCTTTGTACTGGCCTTACCTTAGCTCCACTGAGTTTCTCCTCACCTCTGTCCCATCCAGATAGCAACCATCTCTCCTGGCATGACATCCTGTGAGAACACCCTCAACACGCTACGCTACGCTAACAGGTGGGCGCACATGTTACAGCTGGCCATGGGACATTTTGTCTCCTACAGCTGTGCTTTCCATCTGTGATCAGCAGAGAAGCGTCTGAAAAAAGGAATATAGGAACCTCTTCTTTGACCGTGCTCCCTTTAGGTTTCTATGGTAACTGATCACACAAGGTGTGGTAATGACCTTTGTGCTTAGAAATGGGTAGATGATGCTTCTGAGCCTCAATAGGCAGATATAATAATGTAAAGAAAGGGCTCTCCATGATCATACAAGTATTTGAATTGGGTATATCTGTCTGCAGCAGTTTGATCAGATGTAGGCTACATGTGAAAGACTGAATGAGTGCCACTGTGGCAGGCAGGTCATGGTGAAAGGAAAATGTCTCTCTCTCTCTCTCTGTAGTTTTGTGTGTCCTGACCCTCTCTTCTCTTGTCTTTCCTGCTCCCCTGCTCTGGGCCTGGCGCTGTGCTCTGCTGTGCAGAGTAAAGGAGTTTGGGATCAGTCCCTCAGACATCCCCTTCTCCCAGGGCGGTGGAAGTTGCTCGGAGCTCTCGCCCACCTATGAGTACGATGACTTTGCTACTTTTCCCTGCAGGTCAAGCACCTTCCCATTGCGTGTACACACACACACACACACACACACACACAAATACCTTTTCGGTTGTCAACGCATACACTTACCTGCATGCATTTCCTGTATGCATACATTAGTTGTCAAATACACACAAAACACACTTTCTTCTTTTGGTCTTTGTTCCATGGTTCTCTCCCTCATTTCCTTCCCCCTTTATTCCATCTGCATCAAACGTTCTTTCATCCTTTTCTCCAGCCTTGGCATGTGCTCTGCCATCATCTTTTGCTGTGCTGAGGTTCTGTTAACTTGTGAATGCTGTTGTTCTCCTCATATCCTCTCATGGACAATAACGTGTGTGTGTGTGCGTTTTATCAAATAATTTCCTTGTGATGTGGCATTTGGTTCCATATCTTTGGTTATGCTACATGACACCATAAACAGTCAGTCAGGCCTATTAGTTAACACCTAATATTTGACTAGTCAGTTTATACTGTGCTAGTTAGAGGATAATTCCTTGGCTAAGTACATACAATTATTAACAAAGGTGCAGTGAGACCAGCCTGTGTTTGTTCCATCTCCCACTGCTACGGTCAGTGGGTCAGACACAAGTCAATAAGGTTAGGTTAACTGTACTGGACCATATCAGCTCAGTCACACCTCATTAAACACAGTCCTGGCCGTATGGGCTGTCCACACTGTCCACAGCACTTATTGTACTCTACATGCAAGTTACCAGTATCTTTGTGCTATCATGCCAACAGCTTGTCACTCATTGTCATGCCAAACACGGCTAACATGCAAGGGCCCCGTTGAAACACACAGCTTCTACAGTTCTATAGCATCATCAGTTAGAGCTACTGAAGTGGGGATCTACTAAACTAGCACTCTGAATTTGATTCAATTATTGTTATATTGCTTAATTCGGTTTCATTGAGAGAGAAAATAAAACATTTATTTTAAAGGGACCATATCACTGTAACCTAAAATGGATTGTCTTTCAATAAGTTAGCTGCTGGCTAGCGCAATAAAGCAATTTGCAACCAATAAGACCACAGATGATGGACCCATTGGCTGCACTGGTGTTGATGATGTCTGGGTATCTATTCAATGGGCCAAAACATTCAGTCAAATGTATTGCATAGTACTGACAAGACTTAATATACTGAGTCACAGTCATATCCAAGTAATGCATTTCTATCTGCAATATCCTGAATGTTTGGCCAATCATGTGGAGTGTACTTAACTGGGCTGAGCAGCAGTGTACTGTGAGCTGATCGGAGGATGGTGTTGATTGACACACAGAGCGAAGGAGCTGACGGTGGACCCTAACCAGCTGATCGAGGGGGTCCGGCCCAACATCCATGTGGTGGACCAGCTGGACGATGACTGGGACCACCTGGGCAGCTCCCCCCAGAGAGATGACCTCAAACTGCTCTGTGAGCAGAACGTAAGCAACACTCTTATAATACAATCTTTAATGCACTTTTATGCTTACTCACAGCTTTTATCCTAGATGGTTTTCTCACTCTGTGTGTGCACACATGTTTGTGTGCATGAGTTTGTGCGTGAGCCCCAGCTCTTCTTTCCTTGAGGCCATTTCTTCAATAGAGGTGTTGGGTCTGGTGATGCTGGTTGGTGTGTTTATGTGTGTGTGTGGGTGTTAGTCTGACCGTTGTCTGTCTTCCCAGGAGGAGGAGGTGTCCCCTCAGCTCTTTAACTTCCATGAGGCTGTGTCTCAGATGGTGGAGATGGAGGAACAGGTGTTGGAGGACCACAGAGCTGTCTTCCAGGTCAGACCACATTAACAGATGGCTCCTCTTAGATCCTTTCACATATGGTTAGGAGGTTCCAACTCTGTTGTGTTGAATGAATCTGCAAGCTTGATGTCCTATGTAATGTGGAGCCACTATCCATGAAATTCTCTAAATCATCCAGTTCTTCAAGCTAATGTGATGCTGACTCGATGGTAGCAAAGTAATTAATTGAAAAATGTGTTTGTCAGAGGGAAGATGAGATGACCGTTATTGGTGAGATGTTAATGCGTGTGTGTGTGTGTGTGTGTCTGTTGTGAGCAGGAGTCTATCCGGTGGCTGGAGGATGAGAAGGTTCTGCTGGAGATGACTGAGGAGGTGGACTATGACGTGGACTCCTACGCCACTCAGCTAGAGCAGATACTGGATCAGAAGATTGATATCCTCACTGAGCTCAGAGGTAAGCAGTATAGACATTTATTATTACAGTGACATGGTACCGTTTCAGTCAGATACAGTGACATGGTACCGTTTCAGTCAGATACAGTGACATGGTACCATTTCAGTCAGATACAGTGACATGGTACCGTTTCAGTCAGATACAGTGACATGGTACCGTTTCAGTCAGATACAGTGACATGGTACCGTTTCAGTCAGATGAAGAACATCTCTAAAGAATGAGGTTTGGTCTATTTACACTACGTGCCAAAAGTATGTGGACGCTCATGCAAAATCTCGTTCCAAAATCATGGGCATTAACATGGAGTTGGTCCCCCCTTTGCTGCTATAACAGCCTCCACTCTTCTGGGAAGGCTTTCCACTAGATGTTGGAACATTGCTACGGGGACTTGCTTCCATTCGGCCACAAGCATTAGTGAGGTCGGGCACTGATGTTGGGGGATTAGGCCTGGCTCACAGTTTGCGTTCCAATTCATCCCAAAAGTGTTCGATGGGGTTGAAGTCAGGGCTCTGTGCAGGCCAGTCAAGTTCTTCCACACCGATCTCGACAAACCATTTCTGTATGGACCTCGCTTTGTGCACGGGGGCATTGTCATGCTGAAACAGGAAAGGGCCTTCCCCCAACTGTTGCCACAAAGTTGGAAGCACAGAATCATCTAGAATGTCATTGTATGCTGTAGCGTTAAGATCTCCCCTAACTGGAACTAAGGGGCCTAGCCCGAACCATGAAAAACAGCCCCAGACCATTATTCCTCCTCCACCAAACTTTACAGTTGGCACTATGCATTGGGGCAGGTAGCGTTCTCCTGGCATCCGCCAAACCCAGATTTGTCCGTCGGACTGCCAGATGGTGAAGTGTGATTCATCACTCCAGAGAATGCGTTTCCACTGCTCCAGAGTCCAATGGCGGTGAGCTTTACACCACTCCAGCCAACGCTTGGCATGGCGCATGGTGATCTTAGGCTTGTGGCTTGTGTGCGGCTGCTCAGGCATGGAAACCCATTTCATGAAGCTCCCGACAAACAGTTCTTGTGCTGCCGTTGCTTCCAGAGGCAGTTTGGAACTCGGTAGTGAGTGTTGCAACCGAGGACAGACTATTTTTACGCGCTACGCGCATCAGCTCTCACCGGTCCCGTTCTGTGAGCTTGTGTGGCCTACCACTTCGCGGCTGAGCCATTGTTGCTCCTAGACATTTCCACTTCACAATAATAGCACTTACAGTTGACCAGAAATTTGACGAACTGACTTGTTGGAAAGGTGGCATCCTATGACGGTGCCACGTTGAAAGTCAATTAGCTCTTCAGTAAGCCAATTATTCTACCAATGTTTGTCTATGGAGATTACATGGCTGTGTGCTCGATTTTATACACCTGTCAGCAACGGGTGTGGCTGAAATAGCCGAATGCACTCATTTGAAGTGGTGTCCATATACTTTTGGCCATGTAATGTATGTGCTCGAAATTAGCGATAATTTTTTACTCCTGGCGTATGCATGCCAGCATATTTGTATTATTCACCTCATTTTTCATTATTTTTTTGATTTTGGTCTCTATGCATATATCACCGTTGACATTCAGTAGTAGGTTTCACTTTTATTAACATGAACCATGGTATTTTTTAATAAGCAGTAATATCTCATCCACTCTGTTTGTGCTCCTTTCTTTTTAGATAAAGTCAAGTCGTTCCGTTCGTCGCTCCAGGAAGAGGAACAAGCCAGTAAGCAGATCAATCCTAAGAGGCCGCGCGCCCTGCTGTAGACCAGACCTGACCAGGGAGGGGGGTGTGGTCTGTGTGTGTGTGGAGGGGGCAGTGGCACATACAGGAACATGACCACTAGAAACTTGGAAAAGCTGTCACAACCACCTGTGAAAATACAAAGAAACCGACTAATCTGTTTTCTAATCAGGCCCATGGATGTCATCAGAAATAACGGGAGGGGAATGCATCCTTGGATCCCTTTTTATAGCTGATTTTACAGTTTCACTGTTTTGTTTTGCCCTGTTCTATTTTATTTATTTACTTTTTTGTACTTTAAATTGAACGGCTGTTGACTTGTCTTCATCAGAGACCTCCATGTTGGTTGTGCTTTTGTGTTCAACAACATCAGTATTCTGGTAGGTCTGATTACATGTATGCATGTGCAACTCTGTTGGCCTCCATCAACGCGTGTGGTTGGTTCCCCACCTCAGTTGGCACTGTACAGAATATAGACATTACTCTGTAGGGCCAGTCTTTCTTTCCCTCTGAGTTTGAGGAAGTCAAATCTAGCTGCGCCTCTTCTCTTGTTGTCTTACCAGTCCTCGTCTATAGTTTGATTCAGTTTTGTGGCAAACCCAGTTTATTTGTTCCCCCTTTTATTTAATACTGTAAAAAGTAGTTTTTCACCCATTTAACAGTTTATAAAATAAAATAACAAATGTATAGTAAATACTACTGACCTACTGTTGCATATGTTGCTAAGTGTTTGCACCAGATGTAACACTGGCTGAAGGAATAGTGTCCTGTTTGATTTGACCCTTGACCTGCACCACTGAATGACCTAAGTGTTGGTGACATTTAACTCTTGATGTGTCATTAGAACCTATCAATAGTCTCCTTGATCACTTACAGAAATGCACGTGGTGAAAATACTTGACGAAGCATATAGCCTGGATTTTACAGGGCTGAGTAGCACTGCATGATGAAAATTAAATCCGGAACCCGCGGAAGATCCACGTCACAGCACGGTGTATATTTAAATGGAATTTCAGATTGCGCCGACACATGCAGGGCTTACCGTGAATGCCGTCTCTGCGAATGCGGGAACATTGCATTTAAATGGGGCTCCCGAGTGGCGCAGCGGTCTAAGGCACTGCATCTCAGTGCTTAAGGCGTCACTACAGACCACCTGGTTCGATTCCAGGCTGTATCACAACCGGCCGTAATTGGGAGTCCCATAGGGCGGCGCACAATTGGCCCAGCGTCGTCCGGGTTTGGCCGGTGTAGGCCGTCATTGTAAATAAGAATTTGTTCTTAACTGACTTGCCTAGTTAAAGGTACAAATTTAAAAATTAAATGTCAATCGAGCTATAACGTAGATTGAATCTAGGCCTTGATTAATTTCCAGTCTTCATAGGTAGGAAAACCTCTAAATATAGTTTAACGATAGGATTTACATTTGTGTAGTAAGCAGTGTGATGTCCTGTTTGTAGGAGACAGCGAGGGTTGTCAGGAAGGGAGACTGTGGTGACCCCGTCACTCAGCAATAGAAGTGACACCAGCACCATCTAGAGGCAGACTTCAGCGCATCATCATGAAGTCAGCACAGGGAGACGGGGACCCTACAGTGCAGCAATGCTTGTTTGAATAATCCAACTGCTGCAGCCAGGTTCTGTCATGTGTATTTTGCATACCTTATCAGCAGGATAGTTGCAGGTACGTCTTTCAGATGGAGATAAAGGAAGAGTCAAGGTCAGAATATCATGTTTTTTTTGTGGCGGTAAAGCAGTCATGAATTGCTTAACTTCATGAAACCAAGATTATCTCAGGGCTCCTCACACAACAACCGTGAGTCAGACATCTGACAAAGTATATTTTTCAACCTATCCATGACAACCAAGCACATAGGGATGACCAACTATACTTTCTAGTGCATAGAACACACCACAACAGGTACTTGTATCACCTGTTTTATGTATGAACATTAGCTATACATGTTACCGCTTATTAAATATGTACATTTCAGCAAAACAAATGTAATTTCACTGATCACCAGCTCATGTTCATAGAAAAGGCATGATGAAGGTAGTCCAGGGGGTGAGTCTGAGGTGTCTTGCTGCATTCCTCTAGCCAGTGAGAGTAGTCATCATCCAACAATCACATGACTCGGATGTGTAACCATGGTTGTCTCAATCCATAAACGCTTCCAGTTTCTGTTCCTTAAAGAACACTGGAGGTTTAAAACCTGGACAGGTTTCCACCATATTGCGTTCCTACACCTAGTCCTCAGCTGTACAGTATAGCTGTCTACTGTCCGGTTATGAAAAGTGGATCCCAGCAGAGTTGAACGCGTGAAGAAGTCTGGACAGAAGACAGATTATGAAAGTTATGACATGAAGAATCTCCAATAAAACAACCAAGTTAACATTAAAGAAAATAAACTGCAAACATAAGTAGAATAGTCCAGCTCCACTTACACCATGAAGTCATCTATGTCCATGCTCCTGGCTCGCTTCTCACTAAACTCAGCCTCCTGCAGAACACTCTCAATCTTCTTGGTGATGCTGAAGTCTGCTGGGATTTCCTGTTCCAGAAACAAACAAATGTAATGACTCATGTTAACTAGTAATAAATCACCCAACCACATCCAGAATGTGAAAATATATAGACTGCAGAAACGGCATTGAATACTGGCATGAGGTGTGTGTGCTTACCACGTTGTGTACTGAACAGTGAATCCTGTAGTTCTTCTCCAACAGCTGCTCAACTGCAGTGGACCTGGAAAGAACCATCATCTTCAGTCTATAGCTTGTCACATAACCATTGGATGCTGACAGGATATGACCAACTATGATTTGAATATCCTTTGTTTTGTTACTCACTTGAAACCTGCGTTGAGGGTTTTGTTTTTCCTCACAAATGCGATTCTGACGAGACCATCCCATTCCTGTTGGAAGAAAGATTACATACCCCTGATTACAATAACTACTGTGCAGCAGAACATTTTAACACCTAGGTTTCCCATGTACGTGACAGTGATCCATGTCTCTCTTATACAATCACCTTCACATAACTAACACTTACCTGGAAGTTAACAGGAGGTGGTGGGTTCTTAGGCTCTATTCTGACAACACTCGACTCCACTTTAGGAGGAGGACGGAAATTATTCTTCCCCACCTGAGCAAGAGAAATTAGAATTAAGAATTAAGCAACGGTAGTAACATAGCTGAGAAACCACAACAGTCCGCATGCACAATGCCAGTTTCATGGCTGAGTCAATGGCTCTGTCCCTAAATGTAAATGGCATCCTATTCCCTATTTTATAGCGCACTACTTTTGACCAGAGCCCATTTGGGACGCATCCAAGAGATCCCACTGACCTTCATGAGGTGGTCTACTCGAGCCAGCAGCTGAGTGTTGATGGACAGCCTGCAGTACAGCTTGTCTCCAGGCTTGGCAACCAGACGCATGGCAAACTCTCTCTGGAACATCAGCACTGCACATCTGACAAGACATCAAATGGTTTTAGCTGTCATTTTAGTTGTTGCACTGTTTCTGAGGAGAGCTTGCGAGTAAGCATTTCATTGTACTGTGTACACTGTGCATAAGACACTTCAATTTGGCCAAATCCCAACTTGATGTCCATGCACATCACTCAAATGTCCCTACATATCTCACATTGATAATAATGCATGATTTACACAACAGTCTGGTTGACCCATGCCTGTTTGAAGTTGACATTTGGCCCCCAAGTGTACTAATGGAAGTAAAAAAAAGTATATGACAGTATCGGGGGAGTTTTGCAGCTCTGGAACCAGCCAGCTTCTCTTATCTCTTACCTAAAGAAAGGCCTGTGCAGAAGTAACTTGAAGACAAAAGGTGATGAAATCTGCAAAACAACAAAGAAACATGTTTCCGTAGGTATTGTTGTCAAAATTATGTTACTGAACTGGGTCCGTGTTGGTTACTGAGGGTGAGGAGTTTTACCTGGTAAGGTAAATTGGCAACACAGACATCAAAGAAAGGCAGCTCTGTTTTCAGGACATCCCCCACCAAGATCTGTAGTTTGGTTTGCATGGGCCTATTACATAAAATGAACACAGATGTCACTATCACACTTTCAACTAATACATTTTCAATTCCTTAAAAGGGGAGTATCTCGCTAGCTAAGTTAACACAAGTACTGTACTCACGTGCACTGCACTCTCTTCTGGAGCTCAGCAACCAGCCTACCGTCCAACTCACAGGCCACTACCTTCAGACAAGGGGAAGATGAAAGCAACAATTAGTACCAGAAGCCTCAAATAAGCCTTTAGCTACAAACATTCACTGACAGTAAGAATGCATATCTCACCTTTTTGGCTTTCTCCAGCAGTTTGACAGTCATGTTTCCTGTACCAGGTCCCACCTCCAACACCACATCTGTCGGCCTGAGAGCAGCCTGCCAACAGTGATATCAGTGTCAGTCAGTGAGCCATCCTATCAATATCATGTAATGTTGACCAGAGAGGGTACAGCTGCTTGAAAATGTTAAGGCATTTCTGTGCATGCTTATGAAAATTGTAGAAGGGGGGGGGGGGGGGTTGTGATCCTTGACCCTTACCAATGGTAAACAGTGGTTACAACCAGTACATTACCTTTTCAATGATCCCATTGACTACCAGTGGGTTTTTCAAGATGTGTTGACCAAGGCCAGTGTTGAACATGACCCCTAAAACACATTTACATTAACAGTTTATCATGATGCTGTTAACATAATGAATTAAATAATATCTATCTGGCGTGATTTAGTAGATACCAACGCACGGTTAACAAATAAATCACGCCAGATCAATAATGATATTGTATCTGCTTTCTAACCTAGATAGATAGCCATAACAGGCTGGCTAGATAACGTTTGCTAAAAACGTCTCTGCCACTGGCTAGCTCCGACTCGCACTAAGCTAACGTTACTGCTAGCTACTAGAAACAGCTGAAACAAACCTTGGTTCTTAACCTGTTGGTGTTGTCTGGTTTTCTTTTCTGCCCTTACTTTTGGCATTTTTCAATCGACTGAGACACTCCCAAAGAAAACAAATTACACAAAAATTGTTAAAGTCGAAGAAAATATTTTCGACACGTGCAAATATCCGAAATATCCTGACTTATGACGTCTGCAGGAAATGTGCTGCGGTGGTTAGAAAGGTAGAAACCGTTGCCGATTGGTGCGTACCGCCATCTACTGGAAGAGCCATAAACCTGTGGTATCATCATGCATCACATTTCTTTCCATCATTTCACTAGAAAAAGTACTACATTTAAAAACTGGTGAACATCAGTTTTATTCATAAAAACAAGGTCAATACAAAATACAGTAGGGGACCCGTGTAGCTCAGCTGGTAGAGCACGGCGCTTGTAACGCCAAGGTAGTGGGTTCGATCCCCGAGACCACCCATACACAAAAAAAAAAATGTATGCACGCATGACTGTAAGTCGCTTTGGATAAAAGCGTCTGCTAAATGGCATATTATTATTATTATTGTGGATTCGATTCCCACGGGGGCCAGTATGAAAAAAATTAAATAAAAATATGTATGCACTCACTAACTGTAAGTCGCTCTGGATAAGAGCGTCTGCTAAATGACTAAAATGTACAAATATGCTTTTATTGAATAAAAAACAACTAATGGTTTATTACAAGAACAAAACGATGTCCATCTCTGATGCAGTGTATTATGCATTTAACTAAGTGCTCTTAACATCAGTTAATATTTTATATCTGGTGTGATATTAAAATGTTGTTCCTTCTCTCTCTCAAACTACACCTTTGATAGCTGTACATATTATATGTATAAACAATGTTACAACAAATTTTCCCTTCCATGCGGAGTGCTCATTAGTCAGAGATGGGAATGTCCTCCAGCGTCATGGCGATGTCTCTCAGTTTGGGGTCATCTCTCCAGTTCACTTTACTGGCAATGATGATCCCCTGGAGAAAAAAATAACATAGCATCATGAGTTCTGACATTATTAACAGAACAGGTAAAATGCGATCATCCTCTTGGCACTAAGGATGTGTCCTAATTAAATCTCATTCTTCCCCAAGTGTGCACTTGTTAATTTCCCTTTACTGATTTGGAAGGAAATGACTGGACATTCCCACGAGCCCATAACTCCACCAATACAAAGCTCTTAGATTTGTGAGAAGAAGTAAACAAGTACACACTTCAGAAGAAATTAGATATTATTGGGACAGCCCCTAAGAATAAAGAGCTGTATTCGTAAAGATATAAAAAGAGGCCAATTTACCCGCAGGACATTCTGTGTGATGGTGGCCATCTTCTGGTACTTCTCCAGGTGAGACTGGCCTTTCTGCAGGACGTTTCTGTACTTCTCTGCCTCTGGGTGCTCCCTCTTCCTCTTCAGTTCATCCATCTCCTTCATCTTCTCATGAGTGAGACGCTTTAGATCTGCAGAAAGGAGAAAATAAATGTCAAAGAATAAAATATGCTTGAGGGATTTTCTTTTATATTATTCAGTTCACTTCTCCTCCTGAACTACAAGGCAAAGTATGAAAACATTCACTAAGAAGGCGATCGTTAATCTTCATTAAAATGTAGTGAATTCTTACACCCTCATAAGAATAGGTTCAAACAATACATTTTTACTTTCCTATACATCCTTGGTAAAGCAGTAATAGTGTGGGTGATGTAATACCTAGCCTCTGCTTTTGAAGGTCTGTGATTTGGTCCTGAAGCGCACATGATTCCTGTTGACAAAGCAAACAAGAGGTCAGAAAGAACATTCCATAAATCTGCAACAATTGGTGACAACACCGCAGCAGAGCCAAGCCAATGACTGCACCATTTTTCTGATGAAAGCAATAAACATTCTGTTTTCATTTATAAAACTGTTGAATAACAGTCACACAATCAGATTGTTGAAAACTTCCAACCACATTGATAACAGATGCACCCACCTGCTGAAGTGTCTTTATCCTTGAACAAAGGTCTAGGCTACAACTGGTCATTCCCCTCATCGCTCTGGAAGAAAAAGATACAGGCCCCACACTACATCAAGTAGTGCTAAAAAATATATAGTTACATGTTTTTAAATTGGTAGGTATGTACAGTATAGGCAGGTACAGTGTACTAATAATGTAGGTAGGTAAATAACTGATAACTATGTGGTTTGTGTAACTGACATTTTTACAAACAATGCAAACAAATTAAAATCAATCCCAAAGTATATCAATGGTAGTGTTAATAATATTTTTCTTCTCAAATGCCAGTTTAGGAGGAACTGCTTGAGTCCTTAACATTTACATTTACATTTTCGTCATTTAGCAGATGCTCTTATCCAGAGCGACTTACAAATTGGTGCATTCACCTTATGATAGCCAGTGGGACAACCACTTTCCAATATATACATTTTTTTTGTTGTTGCTATTAATAAGACAGGGTCTGCATCCAAAATGGCACCCTATTTCCTATATAGTACATAGGGCTCTGGTAAACAGAAGTGGACTATATAGGGAATAGAGTGCCATTTGGGACGCAAACAGGGTATTAGAATCTGCTCCTGATGGACTTACACAGCCTCTGGATCACTCTGTTTCAGCTTCTCAGAAATGGCATGCCACACCTGCATCCTGACAAATACAACACAATGTATAATCGGTAATAGAAAACTGTCCAAATGGAACTGATGCTCCAACCTTCTACATAAAGGGTTTGCAAGCAACAAATGCCTATTATCATAACTAATGTACTAGTAATTCAAGGCTTGAAAGACCATTACTTTACATATCAATACAGAAATGTGATTGTTACCTGTGTAAGGCCAATGTCTTGTTAAAATGAATGATTTTTGCTTCCTCCAAGGTATTAGCATAATCTGGCCTGTGGATTATCAACAGACAAATAAATCCACATTTTCAAAATCTGAGTTGAGAAAAGATCCCTTTTAGTTATGGATAGGCCTACATGAGATGATATTGCCAACTAAAGACACTCACAAGTCTTTCTCAGCATCAGATGCACTGCAAGAAGATATTTTGCTTTTTCCTGTTAAAGAACATTTGAAATTGCTAAATAATTACACTCTTATTGTCACATAGTATATCAGCATACCCAATTCAGTAATAAAGGTAATGTAATTTACCTGCTTGGAGCTTCACTGCCATCTCAAAACATTGATTTGACATCTGTTCTTTTATCCTGAGGGGAGAAACACTCATGAATGTAGAATTTAATACCAAGTCTTGTTGAGAAGTATCAGCTCTATCCATAGGTAACACCAACATAAAGTATCTTAATAGGGCGTTGGGCCTCCACGAGACAGAACAGCTTCAATGCACCTTGCCAGAAGATACCGACCCTTCCGTTACTCTTGTTTACACTGAGCTGCACTGAGGTCGGAATGCAATCATGGTTACATTAAGAAACCATGGAGCCGGCGTGCGATATGGGTCGGAAAACATACCTCAATGCAGGGATGGGATATGCCACTGTGCTCCAAATTGTACCTTTATCCACATTGCTCCACCAAGAAGATTGAAATACTGCTAGTTTTCCTGGAAAACTGCCCTTTTCGTCCTCATGCTAGCTACCAGTAGCCAGGTGATTCTCATGAAACCAGTTTTATTTGAATAAAACATAACATAATATATACAGACAGTGAGGGAAAAAAGTATTTGATCCCCTGCTGATTTTGTACGTTTGCCCACTGACAAAGAAATGATCAGTCTATAATTTTAATGGTAGGTTTATTTGAACAGTGAGAGACAGAATAACAACAAAAAAATCCAGAAAAACGCATGTCAAAAATGTTATAAATTGATTTGCATTTTAATGAGGGAAATAAGTATTTGACCCCCCCTTACCCCACCCCCCCAAAAAAAATAATATATATATATTGTAAAGTGGTTATCCCACTGGCTATAAGGTGAATGCACCAATTTGTAAGTCGCTCTGGATAAGAGCGTCTGCTAAATGACGAAAATGTAATGTAAATGTAATGCCAAAGAGCTCCATTTTGGTCTCATCTGACCACAACACTTTCACCCAGTTCTCCTCTGAATCATTCAGATGTTCATTGGCAAACTTCAGATGGGCATGTATTTGTGCTTTCTTGAGCAGGGGGACCTTGCGGGCGCTGCAGGATTTCAGTCCTTCACGGCGTAGTGTGTTACCAATTGTTTTTTTGGTGACTATGGTCCCAGCTGCCTTGAGATCATTGACAAGATCCTCCTGTGTAGTTCTGGGCTGATTCCTCACCGTTCTCATGATCATTGCAACTCCACGAGGTGAGATCTTGCATGGAGCCCCAGGCTGAGGGAGATTGACAGTTATTTTGCGAATAATCGCACCAACTGTTGTCACCTTCTCACCAAGCTGCTTGGCGATGGTCTTGTAGCCCATTCCAGCCTTGTGTAGGTCTACAATATTGTCCCTGACATCCTTGGAGAGCTCTTTGGTCTTGGCCATGGTGGAGAGTTTGGAATCTGATTGATTGATTGCTTCTGTGGACAGGTGTCTTTTATACAGGTAACAAACTGAGATTAGGAGCACTCCCTTTAAGAGTGTGCTCCTAATCTCAGCTCGTTACCTGTATAAAAGACACCTGGGAGCCAGAAATCGTTCTGATTGAGAGGGGGTCAAATACTTATTTCTCTCATTAAAATGCAAATCAAAACATTTTTGACATTCGTCTTTCTGGATTTTTTTGTTGTTATTCTGTCTCTCACTGTTCAAATAAACCTACCATTAAAATTATAGACTGATCATTTCTTTGTCAGTGGGCAAACGTACAAAATCAGCAGGGGATCAAATACTTTTTCCCCCTCACTGTACACACACACTACCATTCAAAAGTTTGGGGTCACTTAGAAATGTCCTTGTTTTTCAAAAAAAAAGCCATTTTTTGTCCATTAAAATAACATCAAATTGATCAGAAATAGAGTGTAGACATTGTTAATGTTGTAAATGGCTATTGTAGCTGGAAACGGCTGATTTTTAATGGAATATCTACATAGGCGTACAGAGGCCCATTATCAGCAACCATCAGTCCTGTTTTCCAATGGCACGTTGTGTTTGCTAATCCATGTTTATCATTTAAAAAAAGGCTAATTGATCATTAGAAAACCCTTTTGCAAGTATGTTAGCACAGATGAATACTGTTGTGCTGATTAAAGAAGCAATAAAACTGGCCTTCTTGAGACTAGTTGAGTATCTGGAGCATCAGCAATTGTGGGTTCAATTACAGAATCAAAATGGCCAGAAACAAATAACTTTCTTCTGAAACTCGTTAGTCTATTCTTGTTCTGAGAAATGAAGGCTATTCTGTGCGAGAAATTGCCAAGAAACTGAAGATCTCATACAACACTGTGTACTACTCCCTTCACAGAACAGCGCAAACTGGCTCCAACCAGAATAGAAAGAGGAGTGGGAGGCCCCGGTGCACAACTGAGCAAGAGGACAAATGCAGGTCTCAACTGGCAGCTTCATTAAATAGTACCCGCAAAACACCAGTCTCAACATCAACAGTGAAGAGGCGACTCCGGGATGCTGACCTTCTAGGCAGAGTTGCAAAGAAAAAGCCATATCTCAGACTGGCCAATAAAAATAAAAGATGGGCAAAAGAACACAGACACTGGACAGAGGAAGATTGGAAAAAAGTGTTATGGACAGACGAATCAAAGTTTGAGGTGTTCGGATCACAAAGAAGAACATTTGTGAGACGCAGACCAAATGAAAAGATGCTGGAGGAGTGCTTGTGCCATCTGTCAAGCATGGTGGAGGCAATGTGATGGTCTGGTGGTGGTAAAGTGGGAGATATGTACAGGGTAAAAGGGATCTTGAAGAAGGAAGGCTGTCACTCCATTTTGCAACGCCATGCCATACCCTGTGGACGGCGCTTGATTAGAGCCAATTTCCTCCTACAACAGGACAATGACCCAAAGCACAGCTCCAAACTATGCAAGAACTATTTAGGGAAGAAGCAGTCAGCTGGTATTCTGTCTATAATGGAGTGGCCAGCACAGTCACCGGATCTCAACCCTATTGAGCTGTTGTGGGACAGCTTGACCGTATGGTACGTAAGAGGTGCCCATCAAGCCAATCCAACTTGTGGGAGGTGCTTCAGGAAGCATGGGGTGAAATCTCTTCAGATTACCTCAACAAATTGACAACTAGAATGCCAAAGGTCTGCAAGGCTGTAATTGCTGCAAATTGAGGATTCTTTGACGAAAGCAAAGGATACAATTATTATTTTCATTAAAAATCATTATTTCTAACCTTGTCAATGTCTACATTTCCTATGCATTTTGCTATATTTCCTATTCAAACTCATTTCATGTATGTTTTCATGGAAAACAAGGAAATGTCTAAGTGACCCATAACTTTTGAACGGTAGTGTATGTGTTGCTGTAGTTTGTCCACAAATCATAAAAATGGTTTACATTAAACTATACTATTTATTACGTACAATCACAGTGTATGTGGACATGTCTCATTACCATAATTCAAGTTCCTGTAAAAACTCCAATCAGTTTTTGAATAAAGTTTTATTCACCCATGATGCATCACCTAGAGGATTATTCCTTAGATGAGCACATTAAGTAAATGTATTTGCTTACAGTGGGGGAAAAAAGTATTTAGTCAGCCACCAATTGTGCAAGTTCTCCCACTTAAAAAGATGAGAGAGGCCTGTAATTTTCATCATAGGTACACATCAACTATGACAGACAAAATGAGAAAAAATAATCCAGAAAATCACATTGTAGGATTTTTAATGAATTTATTTGCAAATTATGGTGGAAAATAAGTATTTGGTCAATAACAAAAGTTTCTCAATACTTTGTTATATACCCTTTGTTGGCAATGACACAGGTCAAACGTTTTCTGTAAGTCTTCACAAGGTTTTCACACACTGTTGCTGGTATTTTGGCCCATTCCTCCATGCAGATCTCCTCTAGAGCAGTGATGTTTTGGGGCTGTCGCTGGGCAACACGGACTTTGAGTCCCTGGCGGCGTAGAGTGTTACTGATGGTAGGCTTTGTTACTTTGATCCCAGCTCTCTGCAGGTCATTCACTAGGTCCCCCCGTGTGGTTCTGGGATTTTTGCTCACCGTTCTTGTGATCATTTTGACCCCACGGGGTGAGATCTTGCGTGGAGCCCCAGATCGAGGGAGATTATCAGTGGTCTTGTATGTCTTCCATTTCCTAATAATTGCTCCCACAGTTGATTTCTTCAAACCAAGCTGCTTACCTATTGCAGATTCAGTCTTCCCAGCCTGGTGCAGGTCTACAATTTTGTTTCTGGTGTCCTTTGACAGCTCTTTGGTCTTGGCCATAGTGGAGTTTGGAGTGTGACTGTTTGAGGTTGTGGACAGGTGTCTTTTATACTGATAACAAGTTCAAACAGGTGCCATTAATACAGGTAACGATTGGAGGACAGAGGAGCCTCTTAAAGAAGAAGTTACAGGTCTGTGAGAGCCAGAAATCTTGCTTGTTTGTAGGTGACCAAATACTTATTTTCCACCATAATTTGCAAATAAATTCATTAAAAATCCTACAATGTGATTTTCTGGATTATTTTTTCTCATTTTGTCTGTCATAGTTGATGTGTACCTATGATGAAAATTACAGGCCTCTCTCATCTTTTTAAGTGGGAGAACTTGCACAATTGGTGGCTGACTAAATACTTTTTTCCCCCACTGTATATGCCTTCAGAATTAGGTTCTTATTCTCAAAACACCCCCTTTACCCCACTTGGCCTTCTCATTACCGAAACGGCTAAAGAGCTCAAATTGGGAAAAAGTCTGTAATTTTATAATAATTGTATATTTTCATTTGAAATATTTTAATTTTCAGTGTTATGTTTAACTCAGGCCTTTTCATTAGGGGAGCAATGTTGAAAAATATTACAAATATTTGTTTATAACTTTTTTTGGACTTTGAAAACTGTTAAGGTAATGAGAAGTTTGTGAAAGTTTGTAAAATGCATAATAAATCGGATCAAAAATAATAATTATGCAATAAATAAGTACAGATCCTAATCTCAGTGATTCAAGCATACATTTTGTGAAAAATGAAATACATTTTTTGTTTTTTTTTGTTTTGTGAGAATGACCCAGCCAGCCACAGCAGCAATTTTGGAATGGCAGTGTCAGCCATTCAGCTCCTTGGTTGTTCAATGCAGCGTGCCATTCCATAATGGCTGCTGTGGCTACTGGTAGCTAGCATGAGGACGAAAAGGGCAGTTTTCCAGAAAACTAGCAGTATTTCAATCTTCTCAATGGAGCACTGTGGATAAAGGTAAAATTTGGAGTACAGTGGCATATCCCATCCCTGCATTGAGGTACGTTTTCCGACCCATATCTCACGCTGGCTCCACAGTGTCTTAATGTAACAATGATTGCATTCCGACCTCAGTGCAGCTCAGTGTAAACAAGCGTAACGGTAGGGTTGGTATCTTCTGGCAATAACGCACCTTGGCATAGACGTGTCTGGAACTCTGCTGGAAGGATGCGACAACATTCTTCCATAATTTGGTATTTTGTTGATGGTGGTGGAAAATGCTGTCTCAGGCGCCACTCCAGAATCTCCCATAGGTGTTCAATTGGGTTGCATCCTTCATTTACTCTAGTGTTTCCATTATTTTGGCAGTTACCTGTATCTACCTCATATATTACATACTCTATGACAAGGGGTTGGCTATTAAATGGTCATACTGAATTATACATATTCATCTCAAAGTATTGTAGAATGATTGATATGTTCACTAACTGTAAATATGAAACGTCCATAGATCAGAATTGAGGAGAAACCTTAGTATCTCTGCAGGTGAGTTGTCCTTCTGTCCATTGTCAACTGTAGGAGCCTGAAAACCATTCAATGCCACTGTCTCAAGGCTTGAGGCAAGGTTCTCCAGTCTATCCAAGGGCTCCATGTTCAATTATTGCCTGGAAAATGAAATAGTGTCAGTCAGTGTGTTCACCACCAACGTCAACAGAACCATAGAGAAGAACAATCAACTCAAGGACATTTAGCTATGATTTTATGCGATTGTTTAACTCTGCATTCACCTTTCCATCCAAGTCAGTGAAACCTGAGAGGATCAGTGAAATACTTCGTTGATAAAGGCAAGCAATGTATGTCCAGTTCTGTCCTTGAGCTGTTCTTGTCTATTAATGTTCTGTATTATGTCATGTTTCATGTGGACCCAGGAAGAGTAACTGCTGCTTTTGCAACAGCTAATGGAGATCCTAATAAAACAACCCCAGCTAGCTAGCCAGCTAAATGACAGGAATGTCGGGTAGGAACTTGAAAGCAACTAATAAATTCACACTAACTGAAATGCAATATGTCATATATTATACAGACATTTATACAATACTTACCTTTTTCTAGTTTTTAATACACAAACAAGGTATGTACTCCTTTTAGCAGTTAGCTAGCAAAACAATACCAAATTTCTACTCAACTGAACTGAGAAGTGTAGTCCTATTGGACAAATAATTTTAACAATTTCCGTAACAATATTTCAATTGGTTAAACGTCACGTTACCTTAAAATTCGACTCGGTGATAGGCTCTTGGTGCAACATTGAATGTACCGCCAGGAAATTAACACTAACCACGTGACCAAGTAATTCTTCAGAACCCCCCCCCCCCCCCCCCCCCCTCGGCTTTTTTATTCTAGGCGGAGTGAAATTAAATTACTGGCGTTTGTCATTGACATTTGGTTAACCATTCCCTATACTCTATAGGGATTATTTTTACATATAAAACAAGGTTAATTTTCAATGGACCCTACATAGCTCAACGTGGTCGATGGGATTTGTCTGCTACCAGCATTTTGTTCGATTAAGAGAAGGATTTTCCTTGTACTATTCTTAGAAATCAAGTTGGTGCTAGCAAACGTCATGATTTGACAGTAATGGCATGAGAAATTGACCTGAACGTGTACCTTCTTTTCGAATAATAGAGCCTATTTTCAGCTGACTGCATCTATACAAAGGTAAGACATTCTGAAGGGTTTGGAGTCCGTACATAGAAAATGTTTTATTCTGTATTTTACTCTGAAAGTGACGGTGTTATCCGCCGATGATCCGTTAGATTTGACAGCTCACATTCGCATCCCATCCCCCCCATCCCATCCATACCGTTGTTCCGCAGAGGATGTTCGCAACCTATGGTTTCCATACAGCGGACTTTGTTATTTTCACATGACAAATGCTCTTTGGTACTTTTTAGCAACTGCGGATTGTTTTCAACCGGAAGAAGACCGGCGAGGTCATGGGGGGCAAAGTCAGTAGAAAAATGGCGGCTGTTGGGCGGGTGGTACAGGTACGCTTGTCTAACTGGGCAATTTATCGCTCTGCAACAACACTTGTCACTCAAGTGAGTACATTTAAAAGTTGAATAGTTAATGTAAGAAGTTACGGTTTTCAAGGTCAGAAATCAGTGACATTTCTTGTCGCTTTACTTTTGCTGTGCATCCCCAAAGCTAACGCGCAAGCTACCCATGCTAATGCCCTTGTTGGTCTGCATGAAATTCCAAAGGGTTAGGATGTAGTTAGCTACTGTTACTAGCTAGTATGTAGATGACAGTAAACGTTGACTAACTAAATTCTAACTAACTAGCTCCATTCTAACTGCAACATATGATTTATGCGGTTAGTCGTTGAACTAAGGCTAAAAATAGCAAGTTCACTGATCAGTAACGTTAGTTCTCCCTGTCAGTGTTTACTCTAGCTAGCTAGCTAATTTATATTGTCCAGTAGCGTGCGAGCTAGTTATCTCCATGCAGCTTCCCAGTATGCAGTTTATTTCAAGTAATGATAAACATGTGAAGGCCTATAATACAATATGGCATTGTTTTAACTTCATAGCATTAAACAGTATATAGGGCTGACTGGCTGCAAAAGAGAAGTGTGTCATAATAACTACTTTAACTTAAGTGGTTGATTAATTTGTCTGTTTTCATTTGACTACCTTTCAGGCTGTGAAACCTCATGCTCCACTAATCAAGTTTCCCAACAGAGAGGGGGTCCCCAGGCCGAATGGTGAGTAGCAACTTGTCTGTGTGTTGTTGCACTACCTATTGTTTTCTTTTTGTCCATGCATAGTGCTAACCCTATTGAAGAGGACATTCCACCCTTTGACTGTTCAGGGACACAGCTACTGTATGCAATTGTGCTTTGTTTGTCAACATGTAGCCTATCTCATATTGATGTGTTGGTTGAATGTTGATTAGTTGCATCAACTTGAACATGATGGGCAGTATGAATTGCATCAAATGTAGCTTCTATTGTAATATTACTCTGTAGTTCTCTGCATTAAAAACATTTGTCCTCTATTGGTTTGACATTTTGTTGGCAAACCTGGGTATTGTTTTGAGGTGCTTTTCAAATGAAAGGGGAAACACTGACTTGATTTTCCATTTAAAAAACATGTCAACTCGAGTGTATTTTAGGAAGAGATTGTTTTAGTCCTTTCCAATTTCATTATAGAAACAGTGCTATGAATGTTCTAATCAAAGCAAACCAGAAGCAATAAAAGTGATGAATAAAATAACATAAAACACATAGGATGTGTAAAACAATAAAATCACTGATTTAAAAGCTACATGAATATTGTTTAAAAACAAACAACCATTTCCTCTGTTTCAGTCCAAGAGGCTCTTAAAACATTAGCAGTCAGCTCTCCTAGTTCACCTCCAGTTGTAGCGCCGCTGCCGTTATCAAGACCCCCTGGACCTCTCACTCGACTCCCTGGAACCCCAGACAGCTTGGCCACAGTGAAGGAACTCCCCCAAAGATACCGCAGGAGGGCACTGGAAGCAGAAGAGATGGACTATATTCAGGTGAGTGCCTAGCTGTGGGACTGAAGAAGTGCTGTAATTGTGTCTTATTATTGTAAAGAACTGAGGTTTATACAAATGATTTCGGGGGTGGTGACACATGGCTACACTCATGGGTATGATCTGTACTGTAATTGAATCTCTGCTTTGAATTCAGCCCATAGTGTTACAGAAGGCATCCCGGGTACACAAAGTGCATTAACTGTTGTTACCGGAGTGTTGTAATACAGTAAAGCTCTCACTAACCACCAACTCTTCTGGTTTATTTTTCAGCGTGGTGGACCAGAGTGATGTTGAGTGACTCAGTGAATGCAACCAAAGTCCTTATCTGTGGAAATCAGTTTGTCTTTGCCTAATTTTGTACCTCAACAAGAGAGGACCTGCTGCCACATATCAGACGTCATGCAGAATAAAGATACTATAATTCATGTTGAAATTGTACATATTAAGTTTATTTTTAAAGATGTGATTGTGTAGATATTTTTTGCTTCATTGTAACTTAATGTCAAGGGACATTTATTTAATTGTTTGCGCTTAGAAAAAGCCACTACAGTAAATCTTCCAATTATATCATTATTTATTTGTTCAGCACCCACCTCATTCAGTGCTCACTATTTTAGACCTTCACTTAATTCAAACCTTGAAAGTTAATGTTGGCATCAACTGTACATCAGTGTACCATTGACCAGACAGTTCTCCCATCACTACACTACATTGTCGATAGTTGCACATTTCTATGAAACAAGGACCAGACTGAATTACGCCACAACACTGAAGAAAATGAAGGGCTCTTTCTCATGGCCCCTCAGTGCAAAAACATGGATTAATCTGGTGCAAGTCTGTTGGGTACAGAGAAAGTAGGATACACAATGGAAGTGAATGGATTTTTTGATATTGGACATGAATGATTAAAATGGTTACTATGATATTGGCTGTGATTTTTTTTTTATATAAGATGGCTTTTGTGTGCCACATTGGGTAAACAATGGACCTTAATACACAGGTGTGCACACTCTTATACATGTTAGAACATTAACGTCTAACTTGGTTTTATATCCGGTGACAATCATTTAGAGAATGATCATTATTGATACAGGAGGGTTCCGATCGATACAATAATACAAAATGTCAAAATTAATAATTTATTGAATCTGACAATACATGTCAAACACCACACCCAAGGGAATTAGTAGTCTAATATGAATGTAAAAAATCTCACATTTCAGTCTTCCAGCAAAATAATTCACAACAGGGATAGTTCAGCTGACAATAGTACTGGCACCAGTTGTATTAGATGACTTACAAGATCATAAAACATTGAAAAGACTAATTATCAACTTTCTTCAAGTGTTCTCCAATACTATTTGTGCATTGATTGCCTCAAGCCATCATTGTATCTTGCATATCAATGTGCTAGTCTGCAACAGTCACAGGCCATTCAGAAATATGGATTTTCACATGTTCTTATAAAACCCATAAGGGATATCTGGAACACAAACAGCATAACATGTTTACACCACTATACACATCACAACAAAAATACATTGGATTATTTACAGTAGGCCTAAATGCACTGCCAAACATGTCAACATTATTGAGACCTCTGATTGCTAGAACGTTTTTTGTTAACAAACGGCATTACCTGGGATGAGTAGTTCTTACAACCAATACTGGAATATAGAAGTAACATTTCACTCATGATCCTACAACTGTTTTTCTTAAACATAACCTCAGTAATACTTTGAACAGTCGGAGTTATAACAGCGGAGTCCCTCAAAACTGGTGAACCGACAACACCACCATCTGAAACAAAGTCAGTCCTCAAAAGCAGGTAAGAAGTCAGCAATAGTATCCACTACATAGTCTGGCACAAAGTTATGGTTTGTGGAGTGATCACTGTCTCTGTACTCCTGGGCCGTCTTCATCTGAGAGATCCCTGTGAGTGTAAGCATGGTATCCAGGCCACAGTTGGCCCCAAACAGCATGTCTGTCTCCAGGCGGTCACCCACCATCAGGCACTGGGCTGGGTCCACTCTGAACTGGCTGGAGATGCACTCAAACATGAAGGGGCTGGGCTTGCCTATCACCATGGCCTTCCGACCTGTGGCCACCTCCAGCGCTGCTGTCAGACACCCAGAACCTGACAGAGAGAGATGGGGAGCGAGAGATGAGGGTTGGAAATATAGTCAATTGTATTTATTTTTTCTCTAGCTCTCTGTCCCTCTCTTCCACACACGCACACCAGTAGGTTAGTTTAGTAGCTAGGTTAGTTAGTGCACAGCATCAGTACCATACCTGGTAATATCCTTCCATCTTGCAGCGGGTGCCAGGGGTCCACATCAGTGGCCAAAAACAGACAGTTTGGATCCCGCAGATAGCAGGAGGCTTTGGCCAATTTAAGGAAGGTAAACTTGTCATCATGTCCAACAAGGACCGCGTTGACATCTGAGGCCAATGCACAGTTAAATATAGTGCCGTCAGGCGCGTCTTCATCACCAACGAAAGGAATGCCAGCCTCTAACAGTTCATTACGCACTCCCTCTCCGCCGATGACAAACACCTTACCTTGCACCTTAGCGACATCTCTCAGGTAAAGCGCCGAACAATACGATGAGCTGAATATCTGCTCTTGCATTACATCAGTAAAGCCCAGACGGTAGAACTTGTTCACGTAATTCTCACGTGGCCTAGTGCAATTGTTTGTAACGAAAAACACGTTTTTGCCGTGTTTGATCAAAGAACTCACCACCTTAGGCGCACCAGTTATTGCCTTTTCTCCGTGCCATATCACGCCATCGCAATCGAAAAGGAAGAAATCTTTTGCATTGAGCAGATTTCTTATTTGAGAGCCTCCAATCTTCCGACATTCCTTGAAGGCGCGGGCGCCGGCCATTCTGAATGTTCGATAGCCAATCTCTCACCCTTTCATTGTGAAAAATATGCCAGCCTAGCTACGTCTTTGCAAATAATCGAAAGCCTACTGCAATGTCATAGGTTTCAGCCACCATTTGACGTCTTATGTATCGATGACGTTGACGTTTCATAATCAACAGAATCAACTAGATTTAACCACGCCTTTTCTGTAATGATAAACCAATGAAACTGCAGCGTTCGCATTGTATCCAACATTGTTACAATGGGCGGATTCGATTATGCTCAGCCGCGGGGCACCGGGCCCGTCATGTCATCGGGCGAAAGCGGGGCGGGAGGAGGGCCAATCTCAAATCGAACGGTAATCTGTGCCGCTCCGTCATTCTGTCAACAAAGCAGCACAGTCGTCATTTCCATGAAATAAATGTTTGAATTTTCTAAATATTTTTCATTGGGAAGGCAGATAAAGTGTTTTTAGCAAAAGCAATCACTTTTACATAGGAAAACGCAGAATCCTACTAATTACTACACATGCTGAATTACGTCACTTTTGTTTTGAGCCCGGGAGGCAGCCCGGTTCCAATCGAATGCAATCCATTTTCAAACGAAACACCCCTATATGGGCGCCCAGGCGAGATTAATCGAACCCCCTCAATTTTATTTTTATTTTTATTTTATTTATTTTTTATTTCACCTTTATTTAACCAGGTAAGCCAGTTGAGAACAGGTTCTCATTTACAACTGCGACCTGGCCAAGATAAAGCAAAGCAGTGCAATAAAAACAACACAGAGTTACATATGGGGTAAAAAACATAAAGTCAAAAATACAACAGAAAATATATATACAGTGTGTGCAAATGTAGCAAGTTATGGAGGTAAGGCAATAAATAGGCTATAGTGCAGAATAATTACAATAGTATTAACACTGGAATGCTAGATGTGCAAGAGATTATGTGCAAATAGAGATACTGGGGTGCAAAAGAGCAAAATAAATAACAATATGGGGATGAGGTAGTTGGGTGGGCTAATTTCAGATGGGCTGTGTACAGGTGCAGTGATCGGTAAGGTGCTCTGACAACTGATGCTTAAAGTTATTGAGGGAGATAAGAGTCTCCAGCTTCAGAGATTTTTGCAATTCGTTCCAGTCATTGGCAGCAGAGAACTGGAAGGAATGGCGGCCAAAGGAGGTGTTGGCTTTGGGAATGACCAGTGAGATATACCTGCTGGAGCGCAGACTACGGGTGGGTGCTGCTATGGTGACCAATGAGCTAAGATAAGGCGGGGATTTGCCTAGCAGTGATTTATAGATGGCCTGGAGCCAGTGGGTTTGACGACGAACATGTAGTGAGGACCAGCCAACAAGAGCGTACAGGTCACAGTGGTGGGTAGTGTATGGGGCTTTGGAGACAAAACGGATGGCACTGTGATAGACTACATCCAATTTGCTGAGTAGAGTGTTGGAGGCTATTTTGTAAATGACATCGCCGAAGTCAAGGATCGGTAGGATAGTCAGTTTTACGAGGGCATGTTTGGCAGCATGAGTGAAGGAGGCTTTGTTGCGAAATAGGAAGCCGATTCTAGATTTAACTTTGGATTGGAGATTCTTTATGTGAGTCTGGAAGTTGAGTTTACAGTCTAACCAGACACCTAGGTATTTGTAGTTGTCCACATACTCTAGGTCAGACCCGTCGAGAGTGGTGATTCTAGTCGGGTGGGCGGGTGCCAGCAGCGTTCGATTGAAAAGCATGCATTTAGTTTTACTAGTGTTTAAGAGCAGTTGGAGGCTACTGAAGGATTGTTGTATGGCATTGAAGCTCGTTTGGAGGTTTGTTAACACAGTGTCCAATGAAGGGCCAGATGTATACAAAATGGTGTCGTCTGCGTAGAGGTGGATCTGAGAGTCACCAGCAGCAAGAGCGACATCATTGATATACACGGAGAAAAGTGTCGACCCAAGAATTGAACCCTGTGGCACCCCCATAGAGACTGCCATAGGTCCAGACAACAGGCCCTCCGATTTGACACACTGAACTCTATCTGAGAAGTAGTTGGTGAACCAGGCGAGGCAGTCATTTGAGAAACCAAGGCTATTTAGTCAATGTAACCTCAATGTAACCTGTTGTTCTATATCGTGGAGCTCCGCCCCGCGGAGACTGTGGGAACATTTTCAAGCGCTCGTACTAAGACCGAAGCAATTGTTAACGCTGTGATAGCACCACATTCTGTCGACATAGCTCTGAAAGCACTAGAAGACATGCCTCACTGTGGTGTTTCTACTGATGGGAGCAATCACGGTGCTGTGAAAATATTCCCTCTGCTTATTCAGTATTTTGATTGGAAGAATGGTGGCGTGCAAAGTAAATTAGTCGAAGTTAAAAACACTCCAAATGAGACAGCTGATACGATCGCGCAATACATCAAAGAAACACTGGAAAATAATGGGATTTTTTCAAAATGTATTGCATTTACAGGTGACAACTGCAATAAAATGTTCGGGGGAATCCGGCGTGATGAAGAAGGAAATAATGTTTTCGCAAACTTAAAGAAGTAATTGCAGAACAAGTCTTTAATCGGTGTGGGCTGCCCAGCACACGTCTTGAACAATTGTGTTCATTACGGGGCAGACACACTAGATGTCGATATTGAGAACATCATCTTCAAAATATGTCAATACTTTCACATCTACACTGTGCGCACAGAGAATCTGAAGGAGTACTGTGAATTTGTTGATGTTGAATACAGAAGTCGATGGCTGTCATTATTCCCAGGTATTGAGAGGCTGCTACAGATGTTTCCAGCCTTGAAAGCATTATTTTTGTCACAGGAAAAAACACCCTCCTTGATCAATACGTTTTTTTGAAGATGAGTTCAGTGAAATTTACCTCTGGCACATGCACTCACTCATGTGTGTGTTTCATTCACACATTCAGGAGATGGAAAGGGAGAGCAATTCAATTGTGGAAGTGAAGAACCTTTTGAACAAAGTCCACACCATGCTTCTTGAACGCAAGACCAATAACATAATGTCCCTTAAGGGACTATTGGCACAAAAGCACAAGGATGGACTTGGTAAGAATTGTGACCATTTCAGTGCTCAAGTACAGGGTCTGTACAGTTCATGCCTGGAGTATCTGGAGAAATGGATGGCACCCATGGAGGAGTTCTCCTCTTTCATGTGGATGGATCTGAGTGTGACACCTGACTGGAATGACATAGAAGCCTGTATCAAACACTTGGGAGAAAAGGGGGTGCCAATTGATGATGCAAAGTGCTTTGATCAGGTCACCAACCTGAAGAAATTCACAGAAAGGTGTAACAGTGATGAAGAGTTCAGTAATCTGCAAGCACACAAGAAATGGACCAAATATTTTGAAAGGTCCAAAAGCATAGATTTTCATTCAGAGCTACTGAAGATTGCAGTTTTTCTTTGCTATTCCTTCTCACAATGCAAATGTAGAGTTTTTTCACTGATGCAAAGCCAGTGGACAAAGGAAAGGAATCACTTGTCTGTTGAGTCACTGAAGGGGCTTCTGTGTACACAATACAACTTTAAAAACATGTCTTGCAAAGACTTTCATGCCTACTTGATTGGTAATCAAGGACTGTTGGGAAAGATTCGACCTTCGGGAAAGTTTACCAGAGAGCATAAGGAGGACTGACATTATTTTTGACTGAATTAGTGGATTTTTTTATGACAACTGAAAAGAAACAGTGTCGTGTAAAAGGTTTTAAAAGCTAAACTATATATTTTTTTTGTTTGTTATTATTCTATTGTTGAGGGCCAACAGTTGAATGGAAAGGATGTATTACTTTATGTATTAAAGTTCAATAACATAGATGCATGGTTGTGAACGCATTTGTATTTACCACCCACTGCGGGTGTCCGTCTGCCTCCCGCTCCCACTGTCCTCTTTTTTGAAAACTAAAATATGGTCACCCTATGGTACCTCAATATCCTGTTAAACAAAACCGACCACTAATCTGGATAAGAGCGTCTGCTAAATGACTAAAATGTAAATGTAATGTAATGACACAAAGTGTCACTCTACACTGTGTATTCGGTAATCCACCACACTCAATCTATGGATCCCCAAAGATTAGTGGGTAGACTCCAGAACATGAGTCATACTAATCTGAACAAGCAGATAGATGACGTCACAATTCCGTCAGTATTATATGACGTCTAATAGTAATGTAAACAAAGTTACAAACACTATTTCCCTCATCATTCCGCCCCAACCCAGTTCTATATTGTGGAGCTCCGCCCCATAGGGGAGCTCTGCTCCTATTGGTTTACCCACTGCCCTAAGGCAGTATCAGCCTGAGACAAAATTTTGCACACACCTGCAGCCAATAGGAGTACAGGTGTCCCTATAAGAGGGGATGCCTCCCCTCAATCAGCCTCCCTTTATCTTCAGCGACTGGACTAGACTGAAGAAGCCAAGAAGAGACGAAGAGAAGACTCAGGACGAGAAACGCCGTCGAATTTCCAGATCTTCGACGTCGTCCAACAATGAGCACACCTGGAGATTTTCCACCCCCAAAAGCTCTTTTCAGAGCTCAATGCCGATGCTCCTCCATGGCGGCTGCTGACTCCCACGACTTATGTTTCGTGTGTTTAGGGTCTCAGCATGCCAAAGAGGGCGTCAGCAGTCCCCCTAACTGCGCCTCCTGCGCCCTCCTTTCTATAAAGGAGAAGAAGCAGCGTTGGGCGTTCTTTAGGGAGGATATTCCTTTAGAGGACGTGCTGTCGATTCTAGCCTCTGCTTCAGAGGCGTCATCAGACGGCGCAGACTCTGGAGATGATGGGGACTATGAGGAGGAGGCGGGCGTTCCTATGGAACAGTCTGACCCTATTCCTCATACTTTCAAGCCCCCCTTTCCCTTGGATAGCGAGAGGGCTTGTAGTTCCTATGGCGATGACGACACGGGCTCTGAGAAATCAGAAGCCCTGTCTTTCGCTGCAGCTTCTCTGAGATCGGACTTTCCCAGACTCATTGAGAGAGCTGCCAGACGACTGGAAATAGCGCTGCCCCCTATTCCCTCCGCACCGGAGGTAGATTTAATGGAGGGCGGCCCTTATTCCCGGCCAAGGAGAGCGGCAGACCCACTGGCTCCAGCAATGCCCTCATTGGCAAAGTACGTCGAGGCCTCATGGGAGGCACCTCTAGCGGCGCGTTCGCCGGCTAG